GTAGTTGCAATGCCCCTAAACCCAATACCCTCTTTAAAAATCCAGGCGTGCGGCATGAAAGCCTGGCTTTTTGAAAGTATTCCCACTAACCAACATGGGTTTGGAGTAGGTTTCGGGTGTCCTTTTTCTAGATGCCCCAGTAGTGCACTGCAGCAAAAAAGGGTACCCTTGTTCTAACCTCTCTACTGGAGGACCTAGTTTTGTTTTTGGGTGGGTGTCGACTTAAAACCAAGAAGCAAACGAGCATTTGGAGCGGGGGGTTCTGCCGATGGACCAAAACCCTGCACAAGTTGGTAGGTGGTTTATCCCAGTATTTATAATAAGGTTTCATCCAGTGCAACTGGTAGGAGTGATTTTTTCGTTAAAACAGAAGAATAGAAGGGTCCCAAAACGGTCGCTTTCCTGCGCGTTCCCGTGAAATCAACTTGAAACAGGGTACACTGAAACATTACACAACCGAGAGACAGTCATGTCAGCTTTGAGATTTCAATCAAGCAGGGGGGGAGCAGAGGGTAGGGGCAGCATACTGTGGATGGACGCAATCCTGCACCTAAGAAACCCTGGAATGATTCGATTCCCCTGTAAATACCAAGAAACAATGCCTTCCTATGGTTTCCAAGTGGTGCAGGATTTCGCCCATCCACAGTAGGGGCACCTTTAGCCGCTAGTTTCAGCTTGAAACGGGCACCCGCTGGGTCTCCTCAACATGTGTTTTGTATTTCTCGCCAAGGCCCAAAGCAAATCGACCGGATCAGTCGACCTTTTGGTTTCCCATGTTTGGCTTTTCCATTTTCAGTAGCCCCACAACCTTCACCTGTCATGTCTCTGTCCTTTGGGCAAGTCTCAGGCCATATCTCACATTTTCTGTGTACTTCCCTTTTTGTTGGCCAAGGTTAGCAAAAAAAAACAACGACACGACATGCCGAAGCTAAACGTGCGGGCGAAGCGCCAGTTTTCTCGGCGCCCCAAAAACGGTCGCGAAGTGCAGAGTGCTCGCGGAGGTGTACTCCGGGCGTCCGCTGGGCCCATCGGGGGCGCTGGTGCCATTCGAGGTGCACCATGTGCACGTGCCCAGGGCTCTGAGCGTTCGCTTTGTCTCACTCACTGAGTTCCTGAACTTGATGCTTTTTCGGGTTTGCACCAATGTGGCAAACACGTCGCAGATTGGAGGAAATCCTGTCCAGTCGTAACAAAGATGAACAACAATCACCAACAGGTGAATTCCTATCGCCTTATCTTCTGTATTTATGTTTCATACTTTCCTTTTCTGTTTATGACTGTAGTTGATATTAAGGATAGACCGCCAATGGACGAGACCAAGCAATACACAATAAGATTGTAAATGAACAAGAGATCCATCCAAATGAACAAGAGATCCATCCAAATGAACAAGAGATCCATCCACCTCTCAGGATTACATGCATTTATATCTATGATTTACATTTCTATCTGGATCTTCTTTTGCTTTTCCTTTCTATTTCTTGTTATTATGGAGAAGCTTGATAAGAAGATAATATGCTTATTGTTTGCTTTCTATCTCTTTCTGCATCACTTTTAATGTACACGTTGCTTTCTATTGGATCTCAAGAACTATAAATGTAAGCAAATGATGTTATCAGGAATGAATGACATGAAAGCCAAGCTTGAATGGAAATGATGGCAAGGGAGAGAATATGAATATATATATATATATAGTATGATTGTCTGGTGTTTTGGTTTTCCCTTCGATCTTGAGGTTATTGAATTTTTGGAATGAGAATCCCTTCGTACTTGCCCCCTCATGAAATATTTCGCTTTCTCTTGGTTTTTGGTTTTTGTCTCACCTTGCTGGTTCAATAGGTAGGGAATGACCTTCCCCGTCCGGATGTTGGGCATGAGCCGGTTTGCGAGATTGCCGATTAAAAGATAACCACAAGTTGGATGGTTTTTCTTGTGCTCATTCCATGTCTCGCCTGCTGAGCAGCAGCCAAGTCTCCTGGAATTTAGTCACTTGCGAGGCTTTCTTTGGCCAGCCCACTCAGGAAGTGAGTTGTGGCTGTTGGTTGGATATCCCAGGAAGTCCATGTGGGATTCCCCATTTGGCCCACAAAAGGGAACCCTTTAAAGGGTAAAGCAGGGTTTTTCCACCAGCAACCCAGTTTAAGCAGGTCTTTGGAAAGTTTTGGAACGCTAGCCTGTCTCTTAACACCAACCTCAAAAAAAACATGGACCCACATGCTTGGAAACTAGATTAGGGTTGTGGGGGGTGTTGCTCCCAAATTTCTACACTCTTTTCAATTAATCATGGAAGCGGACAGAGGACCTCCGCAAAAGGAAAGTAGTACGAAGGGCTCAATGTTTACTGATAGTTTCCTCCTACAATCATGACTCAAATAGGTTTGAAGAGTACCCCAACCCCGTTCTATCTTTGTGAGTCCCATACGCCAATCTTCCTAGATCCTCCAATCACCAGCTTTGATTGGTGGGGGTTAGACCTTATTCTGAACAACCTTCGTGCGACTTGTTTTGCAGATAGTACTTAGTTGGTTCCTAAACCCCCAAGCCACTGGGGGGTACACTGATTTGATCGATCGCCATCTTCGCGCTCAGGCCCAGCATGGACACGCAGTGGAATAGCCTGGTCCTGCTCCCAGATGATCGAATCGAATGCGGCGCATGCAGCACACGTTCGAAGGGGTGCCTTGGTGGTCAAACAGTTTGAAGGTTTCGCCAATCCACTCAGGAAGTGAGCTACAGTCAAACCCCAGACAGATGAAGGTTAGTAAGGCCCAGTCTCAGCCAGAAGTAGTTGTGCCCGCCTTCTAGTTTCCTTACATGGATTTGTGTCGACCATTTTAGTACCGATTGTGACTCAAGTGAGAAACGGAAGAGGCAAGATCGAGAGCGTAGAGCGACCATTGCCTTGAATGAGTGGTTGCAGGTTGCCTAGCCTTCTCAATGGTCCACCTGGAACAGTTTAATGGTAAGGGAATGCCCGTGGATGCCTATGTCAGCGGGTTTACTTGTAGCCCACCAACACGCAGCGAAGTGAAGCCCTGGCCCTTGTCAGCTTGGCCAAAGTCCTTTGGAAAACCAGGGCCAAAGTGCATATCCAGCTTTCTTTGCACATGGCTGTGGTTGTCAAAACCGTTTTGGGATACCAGTTTGGGGTAGGTGAATTCACCACCCATTCTAGAACCTATTTTAGTGGGGATTGGGATGTTCTCTAAAATTGTCGGGTTTTTGACCCATGGCGAAATGGGTACAAATCAAATAAAGTCCAAGTAGGGTCTTGCAGTTGAAAATTTTCCTTCAGCAGAGATGGCCCTGACTCATAGCAACAGTCGTTCGCGGCCAGGGGGGCTCGGAAAAGCTCGGCCATAGCTCACAGAGTTGGTCTGGGTCTGGGCTCCGGCGGACTTTACTCAGTTGTTCAGTGGCTCCCTTTTTCTTTTTCCAACTTGTTTTTTGGTGGCTGCCCCACTAAAATGGTCCAAGCCCCAAAAAAGGGTTCCATTTTTTTCCCAGGGTCACTGAACAACTGAGTTTATATCAGTTGTCCAACGCCAACCTGTTGACCTTCCGGGTTTCCCATAGTGAGTTCCCACTTTTATAGTCATAGCCCCAAAAGGTGATCACCTTTTTGTCCTGGGTCCCTAAGGGGGCAACTGTGCTAGTCATTGGGTTCGGTACGCCAAAGTTTCGACTTTGGCCAATCCACTCGATCGGTGGCTCCACTTCAGTCGAGGGTTGAAAAAGTGAGCGTTTGGATACCCTTCAAGAAAGCCACACAAAACGCTGTAGTGGGGGTTCCCTATTTTTTGGGCGCAAACATAACTTTACTGTTCCTTGCAAGTTGTTTGCATTTTGGTCTTTGGCTCTGTTCATGTTCTACCAGGGGGCTGCAAAAAACCTGAAGCTTGTTGCTACCATACCAAGGGTTGTGAAGATAAGTTGGAGGCTCGCCCTTCCTCCCGCCTCTTTTATTGAACCCAGACGGAAGCTCAGCTGACACGATGTCAAGACAGGGTTACTATTTTCGGGAGATGCTGACGCTCAGCGGACCCCACTCGTTGTTCTCACCTCGTAAAAACACAACTTTTCAACTTTTTGGGTAACATGGGTTATATGTCTGTAGAAGATTAACTTCCCCAGGGCTTGGAGTTTTAAGGGGTAAGTGTTCCTTCCCCAGCAAAAGTGGTCACCCAAACTTCATGGATATTTTGTTGGTTGTTTTTTGGACTTTTAGCTGGGACGGGTTGTGGATTTTGCAGTGGACCCGCAAAAAGTGAAAGACTTTTTGCGGAGGGGTCAACAGCAACTCAGCATGACACAGCCTGTTTTTCAGGATATACTCGCCCTGAAACAAGCAGGTCATCTCGGCTGGTCCTTTTGTTGATGGGATCAGTCAACAAAACAGCGAGTGACCCCAGTTTTCATCGGCCATGCATGGATTCCGTGGGCGTCCTAAAGTGCAGTCGTGCGAATTCGGCTCGAGCTCAAGAATTCGAGCACGTAGGGGTTTTCAGGGTGTTTGTCCTGAAAGATATGGATTCCCCAAACCCACCGCTTTCTGGGCATGATGGGGTATGGCCACCTCTGACCAAAAAAACGGAGGTGTTTAGACTCAAAACCCGGATTTCCCAAATGATACCTACAAACAGTGGTATTTGGAGTCGGAAATTAGACTTTGCCTGCCTTTTTCAACTCTGGCTTTCAGGTGCTTCATGTTCCTTCGCAAGTCCACGCGCGAGTCGGATTAGGCACGACATTTCCCTTTTCACCTCACGAATCAAAAACGGCAACGCTTTTCTCATGAGTCCTCGGACTCCAGTCACTGGACGTTTGGTTGCCATTTCTGGTGGCAGTCCAGGGAAGTGCGTCAAAGTGGCAAAGCTTTTGGTCCTTTTCACCTGAATCAAGCGATTCATCCTTCTTGGGGGGTTAAAGACCCTGTTCCTTTGTTGTCTTTTTTGTGTAAGAAAACAACTGTTTCCCTATACTATCAACCGATTCAACCTTCTTGGGGGGGTCCTTCGTCGTTTTTCTCAAGGGCGACAGGTTCACCCGAGCGGTAGCGCTAAAAGCGATGGACGCTGGTGTGCCGACGCTGAGTCTGGAGACGAAGCTGCTGCTTCAAAAGCTCAAGATGCTTGGCCCGCACCATGTGTTGAGCCACAATGTTGACCCCGGATTAATAAACCCCTGTTTATTCATATGGGGGTGTTCCCCTCCAACAGTGGTCTGAATCTCGACTAACGACCTTGGTATGATTGGTTTACCCCTGACGAAAGAAGGGAGGAACCGTGACTCAATCCATTTCGCACCACCGTTCAGAAATCCGTGTCTCTGATTCGAGTCCCCAACGTAAATACCGTAACAAACCCTATGGTTTCTTTCCCATGGCTCCATTTCGTGCGAATGGATGTCGCGTCATCCGCAGCACCAGGGAGTCCCCCAATGTTGACTCGTCGACATATAGGGGCATGTGTCGAACTAGGGGCTGGACACCAAAAGTCGTTGATGTCCTTTTTGTTTCCCTCCAAACCAACCCGAATAGCCTCAAACAGCACACGCCACATCGACCTTGGCTCAGGGAGTTCCTTGGGAGTACCACGTGGCAAAAAACAACAACGATCTTTGGGCGTTCGGCTAGCGAATTCAAATAACAAGGGAAATCAGGTTGCCAAGCCGATTTTTGACCAGGCCACAAGGTTAGAAGCTTGAGGTTTTCGAGGGGCCGTTTTCTTGTTTGCTTCTTGGCGGGATCTTTCGCCTTTAACTTTTGGCTGAAGAAGTGTATTTCCCACTGTCCAACAGTTAAAGTTTGAGTGGCGGAAACAGCCACAAAGCATGTGCTTTCCCTTGTGACTGTTTTTTTTTTGGTACGATCTACAGTACATAGCTTCAAAGGAAAAATCCACGTGAGCAAAGGAACATATTACTAGGGCATCCGTGCTGAGTAGGCCCGTATCAGTTCTGCAGTTTGAGTGTTGCGTTTCCTACTGATTTCTGTTCGACATATTGTCAGCTGTTCATGTATGTTGAACACCTGCTGCAAGGCTATGTTTCACTTTGTAGTATATTATATTATATTATATATATATATACATTTATGTATATATATATATGGTTTGGTTTGCGTTTAGACATTAGTTCAATAGCTTATACATGCACGTCCAGGCGCAAGTCTAGAAATCGGTTTCGATACGCTTTTTGTGAGTTTCACCTGTTCTTCCCGCTGTAGGTTCTTTTTTTGAAGTATTGTTTTAGTACTCTTTTTGAGTATCTTACAGGGGTGGATCCACGGATTCGCCACATCCACACCCGTTTTCTAGATGTAGCAACCTCTAATTTCCCCCACCGGGTCCCTAAAAAAGTGGTCGCTCGAGAGAGGGGAAGTGGAGTTCAACCCTGGAGATCGCCATATGGCCATGGGTCAAAAGCCAAATCGTACCTCCCGTGAACATCCGATTCAATCCAACCACTAAAATAGGTTCCAAAATGGGTGGTGAATTCACCAATCCCCCAACATGGGACCCAAAACGGTTTTGACAACCACAGCCATATCTTCTCCATGCCCTGTGCCCTTGAATCCCTTTTTGGGGGGAGGGTCCCCCTACTAGAATAGACTACAGCAAAAAGTCGGTACCCTAACCTCTAACCTCTCTACTGGACGACCTAGCTCAGGATATGGGACAAGATCGCGGGTGGGAAGCTTCACTCCATCACGCTCTCCGATGTCCAGGCGGTCTTTGATATTCTAGACCCCGGAGAGAAGGGCTTCTTGGCATTGGAGATCTAAGGGTTCATCATCAAAAGAATGGTTCAAGGGGACCCAATTCAGATGACAATCCTCGGGTAAACAATCGTGGATATATGAGTTGGCTACTGTTGACCCAATATTAATCAACCCCAGTTTCTTAATATGGGGGGGGGGTGTCCCTAGTTTTAGTGGGGATTCGTCACTTTTGGAGGGGAACACCCCTCTGTTCATAAACTGGGGTTGAGTAATATGGGTCAGCATTCTTGGAGCGGATCTTTAACCTTCTGCTTGTTGGGTCAACATGTGAGCCACAATCTGAACATGGGTGTGCCTTTTTGCAGGGGACTCCCAAATCTCCGCATTTAGAACCTGTGGTGTTCCTTTTGGCCGTCCTTCAAAACCAACGGTTAGGGGCTCAAACAAATGGCACATTCCACGTGAGCCATGAAGCCATGAGCAACCGGTGCCTTCGCCGCCTTTCGAAACTCTCTCCGCTCTGGGCGTAGCACTGTTAGGACTCGGGTTTTGAGTATGACTTATGTGCGGGTTACTAAGCAGCAGCACGTTTTTTTGCTTGGAAAGGGGGTCCCTTTCAAAACAACTGTCCTTGTACCACCAAAGAGTTCCTTCGCACTTTCTCTCCATGGTTTTTTCCACTGAGGTTACTTTGGCGCGTTTTGCTTGGATGCTAGGACTTTAACGTTTTGCCAACCTATGGGTTTTCCATTATATACACCACTAAAAGTTAAACTTTTAGCAGGGGAGCAGAATCCACTGAGGTTACATCACCCGAAACGAGTGCCACGCATTGCAGCAGCTCAGCAATGTGAAGCTCTCACGGAGCTACTTGATCGATCTCTGCGAAGATGCCGACCAAGACAACAGTGGACCGCTGGCCTGACTTAGCTTGCCTTGGACGTGGAATGTGAACTCTGTTTTTTTGCGCCACCGGTCGAATCCGTTTGCTTAAGAGTAGTCTCTCGAATCTTCGCTTCGCCAACTTAGTAAGTTTGTTGGCCTGATATTGGTTAACACAACTAACTTGGCAACGAACGCCTGAGTAAGTTTCTCCCTCTTGGTTTAAAATGTATCTCTACTGAAAATATTTTGCAGATGACACAATTCCCCTATATTGGCTTCATCATCAGCGTTGCTACCCAGAAAGGAATTGAGCCAGTCTGCAAGTCACTGTGCCTTTGTTGCCGTCCTTCAATCTACCCTTTTGTCCGGCAAACAGTCAACTAGTGTTTGCAACCTTACATGCTTCCTGCCTTCTGGCTTTTTGCTACCTCCTTTCCTTCAAATGGACTTGGAACCCAACAAACGGGGTCCCCTTTAGGGATCTTCCTCAATGGTTTTTGGGGCTCCATCTTGCCCTTTTTTTTTGTTTTCCAGGGTTTTCCGTTTCAACCAGCCAAATGGGGGGGGGGGTGTGGTGCTTTTTAAGTAGTGGTTTGTTTTTCTCTTGGGATTGTAAGAAAAAGGAATGGGCCGAGGCTCCATTTTTCACAGGCAAGTTCATTGTTTGCTTGCTTGCTTGCTTGTGTTTCTATGGGCTGATTCCTTGTCCATTCTTTTCAACCATCCTTATTTTCAAGAACCGGATCCGTTTTCCCTGAATTTCCGGAGGTTTTCTAGAAAGATCCGGATCCCTGGAAAGAATGGAAAGGGAAGCTACCCCTGGAAAAACAGTGGTGTCCCTTCAAAATGGCCCCGGAACTCCCAAAACCGCTTGATTTCCCAAAACCGGAACTTCCGCAGCATGGGCAGTTGAATCGGAGGGTACCCTTAGAGTGTTGATTTTCATTTGCACTGCACCGAGGAACCGTGACCGCCGAGGAGTTCCTCAAAGCACTGACCACTGGAAAGGTGGCCTTCAACTATCTGAGACACGCGGCGACGAGCATAGGTGTCCTTTTGATCGGTGAGCCTGGTTAAAAATAGATGGGGTTCACTGGCATAGATGGCCATGGGTTTTGTTCCATTTACGAGGGGAACCCACCTATTTGTCCAAAAGGCCACTTCTGGTGACGAGTGGCACTGCGTTTGTCGCTTTCTGTCCTTGGTGGTTTGAGACACCGCTGGTTTCGAGAACTGGACGGGTCGTTTTGGGGCATGGCGGTTCGCATTGGTGGTTTGGCTTGGATTTGAACCCCCACTGAACACCCCCAAGCCACCAATCAAAACCGCCAATTAGAGGGAAACGGAATTTTGGTGGGTCCTTGTTCCACCTGGTGCTAAGCCTTTTGGCATCACTTTGCACTTTCGCACTTTGGGGGGGGGTTGATCCGATTTTCCGGTGGTTGTTTTTCTGCATTTTCCGGTGGTTGTTATTGCTCTCCTCCAAATACAGGGTGACCAAAGATCAGCCAGAATCTGAACATTGGTGTGTCTTTTTGTAGGGGACCCCCCAAGAAAAAGCGTTGAACACATGGTGTTTCTTTTGGTTGTCCTTTAAAGCCACCAAGGAAGGGTACTCTCAAAAAATGGCACCCCCATATGACCCACAATCAAAACCCTGGTAGATGAAGGTTAGTATGGGACAATCCCAGCCATACATGGGTGCCGAATTCCGCCGTTTTGACTCTTTTACATGGTTTTTGACAAAAAACAAAAAAACAAGCGGGTTTTGATTGTGACTCACATCTAGGTCTCCCCTTCTCTCCCCTTTTTTAGTTGGGAGGGTTCCCCTACTAAAATCGACTACGGAAAAAAAGTTGATAACCTTATTCGAACCTCTCTACTGGCGGACCTAGACCTGTTTTCTCCGGATCTTTGGTCCGTCTAAGCTTGGTGGTTCCCAGCCATCCGATTCCTTAGCTCTTTAGCCTTTTAGTGTTTAGTGGTTGGATTTCCGAATTTAACCCAAAGTTAAACTGTTCAACTTTTTGCACATCTGACCAGTTGTGACTTCCAGACGTTTTCTCCGGATTTGTTCGTCGTGGGGGATCTGAGGACTCACAGGTTTTCTCTCGGATTTGTTGCGCCGTCTGAGGAGAATCCTTGAACAAGGGCCCCAAAGAGGTGCGGCAGAACGAGTGCGACCGCTCAGATCTGTTGGTTTGGCTGAAGCACGAGTACGAGACCACCAGCGCTCTGTACTCCATGCCCACGGTTTTTCTGCCCCTCGAAGCGAATGGTTCTCTTCGACGCTTGTTGTTTTTTTAAAGCTCCTGGACTCTGAACTTTTTGGGAAGACCATTTTAGTGGTAAAGAAAAAGTTCAAACTTTTTCTGGCCAATCAGGAAGTTCGGAAGTGAGTTTGGGGAAGCTGCTTGGCAGGGTTGGAAGCGAAAGAACTTGGGTGGGGGGGAGACCGCCAACCCTGGCGTTTGCCCTGTGTCCTTTGCTAGTCATATTAGTATCATGGGTGACCATCAAAACCGTTTCCTAGACTCGTGCTGCTTTCTTGGGAATGTGAGGTTGCTCATCGTCTATATCTATTTCGTCACAACCCACGTGGATGTCACAAACGCCTGGCGAGTGCAATCTGGTCTTCATGAGAACATAGCTGCTTGGCTGATCAGGTTTTTCTTTTTGTGCAGGAACCACCCCAAAAGGAGAGTCCCCAAATTTGAACATGGATGCTTTCCGTGTGTCTTCCTTGAAAGCGCCTCGGAAAGAGTACCTTTTTTTTGCCTTGCCCGGCCGCACGGCCAACCGGAAGCTCAGGATTCTCTGCACAAAGCGCCGCTGATGATGAATCGGCATGGCCAACTACCGCACATGGAGTGGACGGCCAACAGTTGGCTGCCCAGGTGTCTCTCCGTCAAGTTTTGCTCGATCAACTTCCAGCAACGCGCACACCCTAGAACCCAGTTTTTGTTGGAGTACGACATCGACGTTTGGTGAAACCCTGATCAAAACATAGCGGCGATTGACTTTCTTGCCCGACCAGCCAAACCTCAGGCTTAGCTGTTCAGTTTTCAAACTTTAAATCGTTTTATGCCAGGAAAGGCTCATAGTACTTCTCGGGTCTCCTTCAGTTGATCTTTTAGGGTAAAATCGACTAAATACTGCTGTGGATGATTACGAAATCCGGCCTTTCGCCACGAAATGAATCCGTTGTGGAAACCATAACTTTTGTTGGTATTTGAAGGGGATCATCAGAAACCAGGGTTTCTGAAAGGTGGTGCGAAATGGATTTTGTCCATCCGCAGTATGACGTATAATCCAAGACTATTGGTTTCGGAGCACCCCAGATGTGGGCCATGTTGTTTGGGCGACAGATGGTGCAACCGGGCTGGACCTCTCCAAATGGAAACAAACTGATGTTTCGCTTGACTTGAATGCTATTGAGTTTGTATACCCTTCATCTTGTTGAACATGATGCTTTTCCCACTCACCAACAAAAGTGATGTGGCCATGGGTCAAAATCCCGTACCAGTGAACATCAACCAATCCAACCACTAAAATAGGTTCTAAAATGGGTGGTGCACCAACCAAAATGGTACCGTTGCTTTTGACAACTTGACCGTGGCAGGTTGCCATGAAGAGAAGCATTTGAGTAGTCATTTGTCAATCAAAAGGTCCACAACATGGGGTGACCATTCGAGAAGCCATCGAAGAAGATGACTTGCAGCACTATATGGGCAAAGTTACCCATGGTCATTTTGCGGCCAGGAATATTGATTAAGCCCCATTGTGGGTACAGCTTAGCCCAACCTTATGTGAGACCATTTGGGAACCCTTGTTGCGGGTCAGTGGAACCAAGCTGTGCAAAGCCAAGCAAGCTAATCATAGCCAAACCAGCCAACACCAATCCAAAACCAAGCAAACCAAACTCTACCACACTACTTGGTGGCTCCCAGCCATCCCCTTAGCTTGTTAGCTTTTTAGGGAACTAAAAGTTAAACTTTCAGCAGGGGATCTGAGAGCTCAGACGAATGGTCACCCCTGATTAGTAAAGAGGACAAGCCCCAAAAAACTGACTTTTTTGGAAAACCCCCATACAACTCTGGAGCTCCTCCAGTCGCCTTCTGGCGCCTTCGCTGAACCAAACTACTTCCCAATTTGCTCCCCTTTTGTTTTTTTTGTTTTGCTTTTTTGGTTGGTCCCTGTGTTTTCCACTAACCAGGCAAAAGGAAAAAAATGCCGGGGTCCACTTCCAGCCTAGGACCAAAACCAAACCAAGATCTCGATTCGAGCGCAGGTATTATCACCAGGACTTGAACTTGCACCGCTTCCCGGGCCGAGCTGCTCGACCAGATTGCCATATGTCTTCGGTGGGTCCGCTCAGGGCTTTTGAGGTGGCTTAGGTCTCAGTCTCTGAGTCTCTGAGTTCCTGGACTGTACACTTGTTGGGGGTGTGGACCTTTTGGGTGGTAAGCGCACAGTTTGGACCTTTTCTTGGGGCCAATCCCTGCAGGAAGCGAGAGGTTTCAGGAAGCGAGAGGTGGAGGTGGGTATGGACCCCTCAATCAACTCAAACAACCATTGCAAGTCTTCCGCGAATGCGGTCGACCGCGCCGCGGACCAGCAACACAAGTTTGACTATGCCGCATGTTGCCTTTTGAACTTTTTGGAAGGGCCAAAAGTCGGGCGGGTGTGTTTTTCTTTAAGGGACCTCCGAAAAAGGTGGGCTTTCCCTTTTGATTTCCCTTCAACATGTTTTTCTCAGCAAGACACTGATCCCAAGAGTCAGGTCACCAGAAAAGGGGGGTTCCGGTCCGCCCAGAGAAAAACACACACACAGAAAAGGGGGGGGTCCGCCGAAAAAAAAGGGGGAAAAACAAAAAGCCCCCAACAAAAACTCAGGTGACCAGCTACAACCAGATGCTGGGTGGCAGTCGCCTCCACAAGGAGTACTACCAGTCTGGGGCCTGTTCTGTCAACTCTGCCCAGGTGCGGCGGCCGTTTTTTTCTTTTTTCTCCCGGCGCTTGCCGCAGAGTTTTGGGGTCTCGGGAGGGTTTCAGGGGGGTTGCAGTTGCTTTTTCCAGCTCGAGGGTTTTGGTCGTTGTGTCTTTCCGATGGGGCCCTTTAGAATTCACCAAGCAAAGCAGGGTGACCGGTTCTGTTGACATAAAAAGCTGAGGTCTGGGACCCCATGAACTTTTTTGAGGGTTCGAGGTCACCCCCTGACAAAAGGCTTGGTATTTCCCAAGGAAAGCAGCGATCCAGCCAGCCAGCCAGCCAGCCGGCAAGCCGGCCAGCAAGGAAGCAAGGAAGAAAGGAAGAAACGAAAAAGTCTAGCTAGCACAAACCAGACACCACGGCATACGAGAGTGTCTTGGACATGGAAACTTGTTTGCATTGATCGCCCTTTGCAACCTCAAGAAAGATACTCAAGTAAGATCCCCTTGTCAACGCGCCATCAAGAAACAAACACTGCGGTCCATTTATGTGTTTGTGCTTCCGTGGGACAAATCGCGTGTGCAAGAGCCTTTGTGTAAGTTTAGTGAGTGCTATGCCTTTCCCAGATGAAGCATTTTCTGCGCCTGTCAACCGAACCTCAATTGCCCCCTCCAAACACCAGTATGCGAGTGGTATGTCTTTGGTGTGCCAGGCGCAGCTCTACAACTCCAAAGACGGTACCTGCGACCGCCACGGCGGCATCACAGAGGAGGACGCGCAGCTCCAAATACCCGCTTGTTTGTGGATATTAAATGAGTGAAAACCCTCCGGGGTTTTTACATCACACCGAATCATACCCTCAAACACAGGTAGGCGCCACTTTTTCAGGCGTGGTTCCCCATAGAAATTTCCTGGGTCAACGTTTGGACACACGAAAGTGATCAAAGAGCATATGTTTGTTCAGGGTTCCATGTCTTGCGGCTTCGAAAGTACAACCAAAGGAACATCCAGATTTTGTTCTAGAAAGTGTCCCCCCCAAAGCTGGACACACCCGTTCTGACCATGGGAAGTGGATGGCGGGGAGGATTGCGTGCTGTTGGCTTCCCCCACAAAAACAAAGAAGCGCAAAAGTCCGTGTAAGTGTGGGTTGTAGAAACAGACATTTCCCCCCGGTCTGGTGGTTTGGATTGGTTTGGGAATGTGAACCCCTGGTTCAAGAAGCAGGTAAATGAAAAACCCCTCCTTAGCCACACCAAACCAGCAATCCAAACCACCAAGAAGAGGGAAGCTGACAAACTGAGGTCTTGTTTCTCAGACACTGCGAGGTAGGTTTGGATTGGCGCGTTTGCCTTGGATGCTGAACGTGTGCACCTACTCAGGGCTCCTTAAAAGATCTCCATTTTGCCACCATTTCAAACATGGCTGGCTTTTTCAACACCAAAATAAAGTTGGAAACCACCATTTACAAGTTGCAACGTTCGATGGGTGTTTTTCCATGCATCCGGATCCCCGCATGGCGAACCACGCCTGTGCATGTTAGCGCGAACTAAGGACCCTAGGAGCCCAGATTTTCATTTGAGGCCTTCGGTTCAAGGAACAAGGGGCCCCTAGGTTGATGTAAGGTCCAGCAATTGGCGCCCTTTTCTCGCCAACTTTTTTGAGGGAGGGTTCCCCTACCAAGACGTACTGAGAAAAGTTGGATACCCTAACCTCTAACCTCGCTACTGGAGGACCTAGTATAGTGTGAAATCGGTAAAACAAGTGAGTTTCTCGAACGTTCACCTTAGCCCAAGCAAACCGGGGCCATGGTTTGGAGATGAAGCAAAGAGCAACGCAGTCCCCTTGTTGCCAAATAGCCGAGGCAGCCAGGGGTGGACGCATTTGACACGCAATTCCATTTTAACTTTGGGACCAATTTTGAAGGGATTCCTCCGATTTGCATGACGCTCCAGACGTACAATTCGGAAAACTGTAACTTTTGAACCTCTGGATTAGCACGCGACATCTTCCAATCTAGTATCATTGATTTCTTCTTTCCCCACAATCATGCCCGTGTGAGTGAGTACGAAACGCTTATTTCTCTTTTGGGCCGACACTATACACTCAGTTTCCCAAAGCGGATCGACCTTTAGACCTGTTAGTTTCGCCATGTTGTATTAGTCAAGGTAACGCAAGGTTGACCTTTTTCTACCGGGAGGTCCGCCATGTTCTTCCAGGGATCTTTCTTGTCAGGAAACCCTCAAAAACCCAGGTGAAACAACCTGTGAAGAACGATGGTTGAAAAGGCTGGAATCGGAATCAACCCCTAGACTTTTGTTTCCAGGTCCTTTGGAGCTTCGCTTCGTAGAATGCTATGCACTTTTCTGCTGCACATCGCCGCCAGGACATTGTACTTCCCTACCACCTGCACAAAAGCATTCATGAGTTCACCATCGACAACCTTACCAAGTCCTACTGGTTCGACAACCACGTGCCTTGGTTATATGATACCCAACCACCAAGGCCGACTGGGGAACTATAGCGATTAATGTGTGTGTATATATATATATATATATACGCCAAGGTTTAGTCTTGGACATGTATGAGCAGACTCGGTGTATATATTTACAACAAAATGGTCTAAAGTATCTGCTTTGCAACCAGAACACACAGTCTGTATCTGCTCACAAACTCATAACACCTGTGTCCTTGGCTGGGGGGGGGGTAGCCTATTTGTTTATGTATATCCCATTTTTCCTTGCGAGAGTCGTTGAGTTGAAACTTCTTTAGGAGCGCAGAGCATCGTCGTCATACTGTCCCTCCCAAGGAAAATGGCCCAGGGAAGATGGTCGACCAACCGCAGATGGGTGTGTGGGTGTGTCCCTAAACGGGGGAAACCCAAACATGTGTGTGTGTGTGTTCATGGTTTCCTCAAAGATGGGGGTTCCCTCAAAAAGACACAGATTCCGAATACTTTGCACCAAGCCCACTTTGATCCTTGAGCATCCGACATGCGACGGGGTCTTGGGAGACCATGCTTGTCTAGGTCCCCCAGTAGTGCCCTTTTACCAGCTTTCTTGGGGGAGGGTTCCCCTACTAAGGTAGACGTCCTGAAAAAGAATAGTGCTACCCCAACCTGCAACCTCTCTACTGGAGGACCTCGCCAGCTGTTCAGCGGACTCCACCCCTTTTTTTTGGCTTGTTTGACGCTTTCCCCTACCAGAGGCGGTCAACCCCAAAGAGGGATTTGTTCCAGGTCCGTGTTTGAGTGTGTGAACCATCGCCAGCTTTACCTGCTTGCGATTTAGGTTGACCGCGCTTGTTACTTTTGGTAACCCCAACCAAAACTGGTACACCCCCGAAGTTTTGGTATGGTTATTCACCGAAAATGGCAAGCTTTTCCAAAAAAGATGATTGGCTTTCCTTACCGGCTGCAAAAAGCTGGGTACCGGATGACATGTTTTTTGTTTTTTGCTTCGAGTTGCCAGGTCGACAGGCTGGAATACCAGACCATGTTCTACAACGGCCAGGTGAACATGATCACCTTCGAGCGCTTGCAGTTCATCCTGCGCACGGACGGCCACTTGCAATTCTGGCTGCCTGGCAAATGCGGCGAATGCGGCGAATCGCTGCGAATGCAGGAGCCAAGTGCGGGTTGCATTTCTCCGAAAACTTGTTGGGATGATGTTGGGATCTTGTTTACATGTTGGGGAACTTCGGGCAAAAGACCTTGTGTTTGGTGCTTTCCCACGAACCAACAACAAGTACTTGATCCTTGGTTTTTGGTCGTTTTTTCACGGAAAAACACAAGAAGTAAACAAACAAGCAAACAAAGAAACAGGGAGCCGCCAAGGTTCCATCACGAGTCCTGGACGGCTGAGCCCTACCTCAATGCCTGGCACCTCGAACCAACGTTGGTTTAAAGAAGTTCCGAGCGGAACCGCCTACGTTCCAAGAAACAAATGTGTGTAGCTTTTCTGAGTGTAGGGTCTTGTTGCCACCTTTTGTGAGAAAATGGCGACCCCCTCAAAAAGGAATCCTTCACTACGAGGGGGTCGAACAATTGGCCACAAAAGGTGGCCCCTGGAGTGAAGCCCCAAAATTAAGTGGCTTCACTTTGGCTTTCCCTTTAAAATACAACCCAAAAAAGGGTACCCTCGAGAACCCCACGAGGGGGTACCCTCAACCCCCAAGTGAGCCAAAATCAACACCCGGGTAAGTGAAGTAAGGGAAAGTCCCAGCCAGAAATGGTTGCGAAATTCCGCCAGAATGTAGTTCTATACATCTGCTTGGTGTTGATTGTGTCTCAAAGAAGGGTTAATCCCAACATGGCTTCCGGTTTCCTTGCGCCTTCCCTTTAACAACCAACCCAAAAAAGCGATACCCTCAACAAGAAGACACCCCCAAATCAGAATGTAGTTTGGGTACACGATTTTAATACCGCGCGGTTTTGATTGTGACTCAAATCCCCCCCTAGTTCTTTTCATTGGCTTGGTTTTGATTGTGACTCAAAGAACCCCCCAAGGAGGTACCCTCAACCTTCAACATCCCGTACCCCCAGTGAACATCAACCAATCCAACCACTAAAATAGGTTCTAAAATGGGTGGTGCACCAAATTACCCCAAAATCGGATCCCAAAACGCTTTTGACACCCACAGCCAAATGGAACCGAGCGGAGGAACGTCCCGGACAGGTCCCCCAGTGCCCTTTGACCAACTTTTCTGGTTGGGAGGGTTTCCCTACTAAAATAGACGTCCTGAAAAAGAAGTTGGTCTCTACTGGAGGACCTAGAAATGGAAACCCGGGGAGTGGAGGAACGTCCTCCCGGACATCCTCTTCGCGGTGCTCCTGCTGCGTATCGCCCAAGCGGAGGTGAAGGAGTTGGTGCCCGCCATTGCCGGCGGAGTGGATGGCAGCTCAGCTTCAATTCAGAAGGGATCGAGCCATTTGGGGGTGTATTTTTGAAAAGATACACTTTTTGTTTCCGTAGTTTTCAGGGAAACCAAAAGTGAACAAAACAACATTTGGGTGGGCCTCCTTTGTGTGAAAATGCGCCTTTGGTGGTTTTAAGGGAAGCCGAAAGTGAAAAAACACACAATTTGGGTATGAAATATTATCAAATTTAAACGTCCTGCGGGGAGGGAGGAGAGCCCCAAGGCCTTAAGACCTGCGCCAAGTTGCGCTCCTTTCCCCTCCCCTCCCCAAGCTCCATGGCTTCCATTTGCTGAAATGAATACTGGTTGAGTCTCTCCCAAAGAAAACATGACTGGAAGCACGTGTATTTTTCCAGACTGAAGGACATGGAGCCCGGATTGTTAGGGGTTCCCTCATTCAAAACAAGCCGAGAAAAAGGGGGTACATGAAGGATTTGAAGGACATGGAGCCCGGATTTCTGGGGTTCCCTCATTGAAGACAAGCCGAGAAAAAGGGGGTACATGAGGGATTGGTTTCCCTTTTTGTGGTCTTTGAGGCCCAACAGTGCTTGTGAGACCCTTTTTTCCAGCTGGTTCTCAGCAGGGTCCCAAAAAAAGTACGTCAGTAGAGTTGCCACGTCATCCATGTTCTTTGTATGGATCCCTGATCTTGGCGGTTCCCAGCCATCCCCCTTTGAATAGGTTTGTTCGTGAGGGCTTCCGAATTTAACCCGCCAAAAGTTAAACTTTCAGGCGGGGATCAGAAATCGGACAGCCCAGAGACGTGTGTGTCTCGGTTTTTTTGGGGGGGTCGGCCTACCACAAAGCGACTCGCCGGTTCTCCATGGAGGTCCACGCGGGGTTGGTACGTGTAGCGTCAAGCCGGGGTTCTTCGGTGGTTTCAGAGGTGTATTTTGCTTGGATGTTGGGACTTTAACTTTTTGCCAACTAATGAGTTTTCCGTATTAAACCACTAAAATTTATTCACTTTTCGCAGGGCTTCGCAGATTTCGCAACCGAGGTTTGAAGGACTACCTGGGCTTCTGGAACATTGTGGATTGGATGGCCATCACGGTGGGTCGCTAGGTTTCAACCAGTGAATCGATTGCTCGATGGCAGCCTGAGACTGGGCTGGACAAAGTGGCAGCTGATGAGCTCAGAGACGAGTGAATGAACTTTTGTCACCTTTTTTGGGTCAGTGGCTCCCTTTTTCCTTTTGTTTGGTGGCTGCCCCACTAAAATGGTCTTCCCAAGAAAGCCTTTTTTTCCAGGGTCACTGAACAACTGAGTGGCAAACCAAGTCTTTTGTGACTCTTTTTGGCCAGTCCAGGAAGTAAGAGTCATAGGGGGGGTCCCAATTCTTCTAGTGGGGATTCAGACCACGTTGGGAGGGAACAGTGAACACACCAATGGTTTTATTCATTTGGGGTTCCCATTCGCTGCCAACACGGACACCACACCGGGCTGCGAATGCGTGTGAGCTTCGCACCCGGTGCAGGTGAATTTGTCCATGGTTTGTGTGTGTGTGTGTTGAGTACGTGAATGTTCGGCCAAATTCGCAGGTGGGGAGCGCCATTTGCGTTTTCTAATTCCCCCCGGCTTAGGGGGACTTGCAAGTGGGTCACCAGTTTACCAACAACTTGCTGACTCGCCCGAACACAAGTATGCTTGGTTTACAGTAGCAATATTTACCCTCCCACCAACTAACATGGAAGTGCAAAAAGGCCCTTTCCAAGAGGAAAGTAGTCTTTCTACAGGGGTCTGTCCACGTCCATGTTAGCTGGTGGGAGGGTAGGTCTTCGGGGGAGGCTTCAACATCGGTGTGTGTGTGTGTGTGTGTCAGATCCAGAAAGTGCTCGAAGGGCAACGCGGTCCCGTTATTTTGACACATACCCAAATGAATGTTTTGCTGTTTGGTTTTGCTCTTTGTGATGTATTTTTTCGGGAGCCAGACAACTCTTTGTCCAAGCAACGCTCTTGCCTTGTTTTTCCTGAGGCTCTTGCAGAAGGCTCTGGTTGGATCTCCAAGAAGCAACACCACCCTTCCCCCAAACCAGGTTGTCCAGCGTCCTTTCAGTTTGTCCCTTGCCTACTAAACAACGAACTCCTCTTCGCCATTGGAATGCGGGTGGCTCGTCTTTTTTGAGGGACCTTAAAAAGCAAAAGTGCCATGTTGGGGTCCCCTACCCCAGAGTTCAGCGCCCTTCAAAATGGTTGACCCAACTTGGATCACAATCCTGAGGTAAACAATGGTGGTTATATGAAGCCCCATTGTTTTCATGGCGCCATGTCCAACAGAAGTTCTCTTGGATCACCTTTTTTTTCTCCGGGTCGGGGGTTCACGAAGCTTTGTGGTTCCCTTATTCTATCCCCTCTACTGGAGGACCTAAAAGCGGATCGACCTTTTGACCTTTTGGTTGTCCTGTTGTCCATATTCCAAGTCAACAAAAGGTCAACCTGGACCCTCAAGATTCCAGCTTGAACATGTAATATTGCCCCAAAAGCATGGTAGGTGAGTTCCCTTTTTATGGATAGTTCTTTCGGATCCAGGAACATGGTGTTAATGTTCAGGTCCTTGGGCATATTGTTCCTGTAGTATGGTGGAAGCCACCTCAGACCCAAAGGACGTGAACATGAAAACAGGTCGACCTTTTATGGGCAGTTCTCTCAGGTGTCTTTTAAAAGACCAAAAACAGCTGGTCCTGGGGTTCGCGAGTCTCGCGCGTCAGCCAGAGGGATATGATTTTTATATTTTCAGATCCTGACCTCGCTCGCCTTTCGGGTCCAGGTGTGATTCTGTTTAATTGCAGCTCCTGTGGAGGCTTCGTTCGCGCTTATCAGTCGCGTCAGTCGCCATGGGGAGTTCTCTCAAGTGTTTTTTTTGAAGAAACAAAACAAAACAAAAAGCTGGTCCTGGGGCTCGCGCATTCTCTCAGGTGTCTTTATTTGAAAGAAAAAAGCCGCTGGTCCGGGGTTTTCGCGCGCGTCAGCGAAGCAAGACGCGGAGGTTTCTTCAACCTCGGCCTCTCAGGTCCTTTTTCAGAAAGGAAAAAACCCGCTGGTCCCAGAACCTTCGTGAGGAGTCGCAACACATGTTCCAAGCGTTCGCTCGCGGATCAGTGAGACGCGGAGGTTTCTTCAACATCGGCATGTGGCTCTACATCTTCGTCATGGTCTCGGTGGATCTCCCGCAGGCCATCGCCCAGATCCCCCAGGCGGAGCTGGACGCTCGGGTGCTGCAGAACCAGCGCCCCGGCGCGAGCACGAAAACGACGCCGGAGCCGCCTGGAACGGACCCGACAACAACGTTGTTCAGTGGCTCCATTTTTTTTCCAACTTTTGTTTTGATGGCTGCCCCACTAAAATGGTCCAAGCCCCAAAAAGGGTTCCAATCCTTTTTTTTCCAGGGTCACTGAACAACTGAGTTAAAAGAGGTGGACTTCACCAGGGCTCCGAACAAAAGATCTCCATTTGCAACCATCCATTTGAAACATGGCTGGCTTTTTCAACGCCAAAATCAAGTTGGACACCTCCATTTACAAGTCGCAACGTTCGATCGGTGGTTTTCATGCATCCGGATCCCTGTTCACCCAGCTTCTCTTTTTTTTGGGGGGGGGCCTTCAAATTCTTGGTGGCAAGCCCAAAGGCCATCCGGTTCAACTTAGCTCTTTTTAGATCTTTTTTAGGTGGTTTAGTGGTTGGGTTTCCGAACGTAAGCGACTAAAAGTGAAGCTTTTGGCAGGGGAGCGGAGGGCCCTCAAAAGAGCTGGACTCCAAGCATTTTGGGGGGGTAACCCAATCAGGTCGTGCCACTTCTCTTTGCTATTTGGTTGGACCTTTGGACTTTAACTTTTCGGTGGAGACTTTGCGAATCCAAATCGGACCCACGGAAAGTGAAATGATTATACCACCCCCTTAAAAGTGGAATTGGGAGAGGGGGGACCTCCTCAAAATTTATTTTATACTTCAAGTTACTTAAGAACATGCTTGATTTCCCCCTGTTGGTTTTAAAGGGAATCTATCACTACTGGAAATATGTGTTTCTCCAGGAAACTTGAGAACCCAAAATGACACGTCCAGCGGGTGGAAGCCCGGTTAGTCCACCCAAAGCCACGATCCTGCAAGAAACGTCCCAAGCCGCCCAAGCCTTTTTGGGCCTGGTCCATGTTCCACGCCGAACAACAAGTCTCATGCCCGCTCGAGTTCCGCGACTCGGACCTTTCTAGGGGTACCTTCCATTTCCATTCTTTCCAGGCATCCTTCTGGAAAACCTCCGGAAACCCAGGGAAAGTAGCGATCGGTTTTTGGTATAAGAACGATGCTTGAAAAGAATGGGGAATCAACCTCTAGAATAAACGGAGAAGATCCAAGGCGATCGGTTTTTTGTATAAGAACGATGCTTGAAAAGAATGGGGAATCGACCTCTAGAATAAACGGAGAAGATCCAAGGCGATCGGTTTTTGAGCAAAGAACGATAAAGAACGATGCTTGAAAAGAATGGGGAATCAACCTCTAGAATAAACGGAGAAGATCCAAGGCGATCGGTTTTTGAGAAAAGAACGATGGTTAAAAATAATGGGGAATCAACCTCTAGAATAAACGGAGAAGATCCAAGGCGATCGGTTTTTGAGAAAAGAACGATGGTTGAAAAGAATGGGGAATCAACCTCTAGAATAAACGGAGAAGATCCAAGGCGATCGGTTTTTGAGAAAAGAACGATGGTTGAAAAGAATGGGGAATCAACCTCTAGAATAAACGGAGAAGATCCAAGGCGATCGGTTTTTGAGAAAAGAACGATGGTTGAAAAGAATGGGGAATCAACCTCTAGAATAAACGGAGAAGATCCAAGGCGATCGGTTTTTGAGAAAAGAACGATGGTTGAAAAGAATGGGGAATCAACCTCTAGAATAAACGGAGAAGATCCAAGGCGATCGGTTTTTGAGAAAAGAACGATGGTTGAAAAGAATGGGGAATCAACCTCTAGAATAAACGGAGAAGATCCAAGGCGATCGGTTTTTGAGAAAAGAACGATGGTTGAAAAGAATGGGGAATCAACCTCTAGAATAAACGGAGAAGATCCAAGGCGATCGGTTTTTGAGAAAAGAACGATGGTTGAAAAGAATGGGGAATCAACCTCTAGAATAAACGGAGAAGATCCAAGGCGATCGGTTTTTGAGAAAAGAACGATGGTTGAAAAGAATGGGGAATCAACCTCTTAGAAAAAAACGGAATCAACCTCTAGAATCGGATCCAAGACCAAGAAAAGAACGATTTTGAGAAAAGAACGATGGTTGAAAATAATGGGGAATCAACCTCTAGAATAAACGGAGAAGATCCAAGGCGATCGGTTTTTGAGAAAAGAACGATGGTTGAAAAGAATGGGGAATCAACCTCTAGAATAAACGGAGAAGATCCAAGGCGATCGGTTTTTGAGAAAAGAACGATGGTTGAAAAGAATGGGGAATCAACCTCTAGAATAAACGGAGAAGATCCAAGGCGATCGGTTTTTGAGAAAAGAACGATGGTTGAAAAGAATGGGGAATCAACCTCTAGAATAAACGGAGAAGATCCAAGGCGATCGGTTTTTGAGAAAAGAACGATGGTTGAAAAGAATGGGGAATCAACCTCTAGAATAAACGGAGAAGATCCAAGGCGATCGGTTTTTGAGAAAAGAACGATGGTTGAAAAGAATGGAATCGGACTCGGACTCAAGGCCCTAGAACTTGAGTCACTTTCCCCGAGAATTCCCGCCCATCCGGCTCCTTAGGCCTAAACGCTGTTTGGCGTTTCGTGGTTGGATTTCCGAATTCAACCCACAAGTGAAACTTTTCTTTGGCGCATTTTGCCAAGGGCTGTTAGGACTGAACAACTTTTAGCCAACTAATGGGCTTTCCACTAAACCACTAAAAGCTCCGTAGCCATTTTGGCTCAAAACACTCAGTTGATTACTTGCCTGCATTACCCAAGCTATCAACAAACGTTTTAACAATGCTGGCTTTGTCAACACGGAGGTTTGACAATCAATTCGGGGACTTGACACCTGAGGTTATCCTGACAATGGATGAATGTTTTGAGCCTGAGTTTTTCAGCAATGTTCGCGATTTTTCGCTCAGCTTCGCGGCCAAGTTCACACCTCGGGATTTAAAGCTCAGACAAGGTGCTGATATCCGGTCTGAGTCGCTTTTGGAGTTTCCGTCAAGGTTTTATGACGTGCGTATCGTGCCGGCTGAAAACGCTCTATCATGTGGGAGGCTCAACTCTGAGAATCGAATTTTGGATTCGGTTTCAGAGCCATATATTGAGAAAATTCAGGCCAAAAGCATGACCGGAGATAAGCTGTTTCCGATCACCATCATTGCTTCTAAAGAAGATGAGGTCGATAGCGAACGACAGGGGACATGCTTTGCATTTACTCCGGGGTATGGGGTTTCACTGCACGGGATGAAGCGAGGTCTCTCGGTAGCCTTTGGAGATGGTGATCTCAAAACGGCTGAATTCAGATGCATTCTAAGTCTTTCGTCATCAATGACAATCTCAAGGATGACACTTTGCGAGCTTGAGAGTGAAGAAGACAAGCTTAAGGAGAAGCGGCGAAGGATTCGAAAGTCTATGACTCTCGCTGATTATATGGAGCTTACAAAGATCATGGTTGGCAACAAGGCGCTGGTTTGTCCGTCATGCGTTTTGGCGTTCTCTCTCACATGTGCTGGTTGGCCCACGTTAGTCTCCTTTCTCCGTAGAGCTTGGCACGAGTTTGTGTGCCTTGAGGCAGGCGCAAGAGAATGCTGGGCTCGCCTTAGGCCTGTTGATTTCCCGGCAACGCATCGCATCCTTCAGTCCTTCCCAGATGGAGAGTGTAGATCCTTGAACTATCACATTACTGGGGCTTTCATCACGAGTGCTCAGCGTTCCAAATTCGATGATGCCTTTGATGAAATGTGCCCTTGCTGTGGTCAGGTTCAAGATAGCCTGTCACACAGGGTGCTGGAGTGCCCAGGGCTTGATGAGGCACGGGAGCCATTCCAGGATTGCCTCGATCAGGTTGTTGAACTCCACCCTTCCTGGGTCCAGTTACCGTGTATGCCCCGACATCCAGAAGCATGGTGTCGGGAAGAGATCCTGCACTGTTTGCCACAACCTGAACTCAACGTCGAGATCATCCGCCAACACCTCCTGTCTTTTTTACTGATGGCAGTTGTGCGCATTCGCATTTCCCAGCAGCCAGACTGAGCAGTGGGGCCGTCATTCTTGATTGTGCAAGAAATGATGAGGAGAGGCGCAGCCGCTTCCTTGCATACAAGAGGGACCTCACCACCCCTAACACGCTTGTGCCTGTTGGCTTCTTTGTGACCCCAGGTTTGGCCACCATAAGCAGGGCTGAGCTTCAGGCTGTTGCCTCCTGTCTCAGCGCATTCCCGGTGTCTACCGTTTTCACCGATAGTGCTTTCGTTGTTGCCACTTGGGAGAAGGTTCAAAACGCCGACAACCTGGCTGCCTTGCATGCATGTGACCATTTCGACCTTGTCGCGCAACTGTTCCACGTACGGGGCACACCGGGGCAGTCCGTTCAAAAAATTCAGGCGCACCAAGTCTTGTGGAAAATTCTAAATCCTGTGCACGCATACGCTGCACTGGGCAACCATTTGGCTGATGCGTGTGCAAAATCGGCGATTAGTGCCCAAAATTGTGTGTTCCGGCAAGAAGCAGATGCCCTGGCACAATGGTCCGCAGCCACCAGTGAATTACTGAAGAATTTCCTTCAGATGCTAGTTGAGCTCCACCGGGTTGCACATGGCAGGGAAAAACAAATTAAAAGGGCTGCGCATGAAGCACCACCCACACACGATCTTTCCAATTCGGCCATGCTTAGCCAATGGCAATGTAACGGCCCCTTTTGGCAAGTCGAAGACCCCTTCCCGCGCTCACTGCTAGGTGCCTTCTTGTGGGGTGATACATACGCGCAGCTCTTGTGGCAGTGGTGGGCGGCTATCAAATGGCCTACCAGCCCGCGTCCGGCAGACCCAGGGGTCACCCACCTTGAACTTCTTATTTCCTTCCTCCTCTCCACCGGGGAGCCTATCCCCCACAGCTTTGGTCAGGGTAATACGCTTAGGTATATAAGCCCCAGGCATCAAGAACACTTGAAAGCCACACCAGCCACGGTGTCGCACTTGATTCTTGCGTTTGAGGGCAGCCTCCGACTTTTGGACACCTTGACTCGCGAGCAGATCGTGCCACCGGTTCCTCGGGGTACGGTCACCAGCTCGCGTATGCTGGGGGACGCCCGGAGGGGCCAGAGAGGTTACAAGTGGAGACCGGAATTGCCTGCCCAGCATGAGGTCGTGCAGGTAGTGGCAGCGTTCGTATTGACAAATCGTAGCCACTCTGCATTGACCGCTTTGTTGCACGACCGCTGCATTCAGTTCAGTGCGCCGCATGATCGTCTTGAAAGTGCACCAGCAGCTGCAAGAAGGTTTCACCGTTGTAGGGACTTGAGGCGCGAGGCTCGGGGAGCTTGGTGGACCTCGTCCTTTTTGTCATTTTGCTGGGCCACAGTGCCCCATCGCGTTTGTCATCATCTGCCAATCGGCGGGGTGATGGCAACCCAGGATCGCCCGGGAGTCAAGCGTGGAACGGAGCAGAAAGCAACCGAGTTTTAGCGAGGGATCTGAAAACGGACAGCCCAGTTTAGTGGTAAGCACACAGTTTGATGACTGTTGTTTTGTCCAATCCACTTCATTGCAAGCGAGACAAGTCTCGGCTTCATTTGTTCGGATGATCAAGAGAGAAGTAAGTTTCTCACCGGGGGTACTTACTAGCGCCGACACCGATTACCTGCTGTTGACAGGGTGTGATGCGAATCCTTGACTACAAAAGGTTGAATTTACCATTAAAAACCAAGTCTTCCAAAATATACCAACTAAGCAAAGTGGCATTCTTTCACATTAGGACTACCCTCCCAAGTGGTTACTGGACATTTGCCCCTCACCTAGACTCCCATTTGCTTTTGTTCATTTTTCCCGTGTTGGTGTTAAAGGGAATCTATCACTACCGGACATATTTGCTCATTTTCTCCAGGGGACGAAGCACTGAAAATGGAGGTAGATGATGTCCACCAGCGGGTCCCCAATGAAAAAAGCTCGCGGTGCATCCCGCAAGGACCTACCTCACCCTGGACGACTTGGCTGAGGTGATTGAGCCTGCTGTGCTGAACCAAAGGAGACGCATCGAATCGGATTAAGCGTCCGAGGGGTTTTTAGTTTCGCAGCGATCTATTCTGGGTGAGATCAATAACACAAAGCCTTTAATTTCCCCAAAGGGGAACAGAAAGATTGGTAATATGTTTTTGTTCCAGACCCCGTGTAGCGAGTATTGTGATTCAGTTTGAGGAGGAGTGTTGTAAAGCAAATTCAGTGGCCAACATCACTGGTTTGTTTGGGGAGAACGATGGCTGGTACCCGCCCCCTTGCCTCCACACCCCCACTTTCTGGACAGTCGGGGCTTTGGACAAGGGGGTTGCAGCGCCGGTCTATTGGAGAAAAGGAGCACGCCCAAGCCACAAAGCCCAGGGGTTTAGCAACCACACATTGTCCTGGGGTTAGCCATCGTAGGTGGGATAGATGGTTTCCCGTTTCAGTCTTTGGTCGGGTAGATGTCATCTAGTTGTGACCCAAAACGGGTTTCGCTTGTTTGGTCTCATCAGCTAACTCTACAGGAAGACCAGCTTGGCAGGGGGCCGACTTGCAAGGTGCCAACTCCACCGTCATTGGCTGTTCAGTTTTTCGGTTGTTTTGGTTCTGTTCATTTTCAGCAGGCCGCAAAAAAAAGAATCAACCGCCCGTTCTTTGCTCGGGCCTTTTTCTCTTTTTCCTCCTCGAGGATCAACGAGATGTTCATGCTGGGCCGAGAGGCGGAGCCCGAGCGATCCGTCGGCTTGGAGTTTCGCGTTTCGCGTTTGGATCTCGGCAGATGCGAAGTTAAGTGAAACCGGACCTTGAGTTTGGATTTCCACCTTCAACAGGGCTCCGAACAAAAGATCTCCATGTTGCCACCATTTCAAACATGGCTGGCTTTTTCAACACCAGAATGAAGTTGGACACCACCATTTACAAGTTGCAATGTTCAGGTGTATAATGTAAGGATCCCTGTTCCATGGAGGGGTCTTCTGAACTTCCGTTCCCCTGTGGGAACTAAACCTCGGGGATGAGCATACCAGGACGAAGGAGAAGAGCTGTGGATTTCTTGGTTCCTTGCCCCAAATGTCCTTTGACACCTTGAGAGCGCCGTTACACGGGCGTGTCTATTTATCTTTGCAGGGGGGCGAGGGAAGGAAGGGGTAGCTGTGGGTCAAAAATAGGGTAACCCCCAAAATGGCTTGCCCTGGCAAATGGAAACATGGACTAAAACCTGCGGTCCATATCCTGTTGGCTTAGTTTTGACCCATACCCATGTGGCGGTCGCCCACGCGGAAATACAATCCTGCTGAGTTGCTGGACTTTCGTCACTTGAGTTTGGCTGCCATCCACTCGATCGGACGTGAGAGAATCGCAGGTGATTTCCCCAAGAGCTTCAAACACTGGAGCTAAAGGTTAGTTCGAGGAAGCAAGGTGTCAAAGGGGGCCCCATATGAATTGCTGTGGCTCAAAACGATGTACATACCCAAAATGGCCTGGAAGCAAAGACCAAACCCTGCGTAACCCTAGCTCTTAATTTTTTTTTGAGCCACGCCCAAATATTTTTGTGGTTTCCCTCTAAGCCCACCTCCAAAAAGGTTCCCTGAACAAAAGCCGTGCCCCGTATTGTGGATGGACGAGATCCGTTCGCACCACTTTGAAACCATGGTTGAAAGCATAGTTGGCTGGTTACAGGGGAATCACGATTTCAAAACTCTGAAAGATATGCCAAGAACTGGTAAGTCGTAGTTTCCTTAGAACCCCCGTACGTTGTCAGCCATCATGGTTGGTGTTGGGAAACATTTGACATGTTTGCTTATTGTGGATTAGTAGGAAATCCCCACTTAACTGTTTTTTTTTTTTTTTTATTGTTTGCTCCCCTTCCAACGTCAACCAAGTCATGGTCATGGTATCCCGTGGAAGCATCTTTTGACCATGGCGCACATAGAGCTCGCGCCTGCGAGAGGTCTACGACTGGCACCTGCTGCTGCGGTGCTGCTTCTTCGGCTACTTCTTCATCCTCATCCTCAAGTTCTTCAAGTCCTTTCAGGCTCAGACCGGTGGGGTGGGGCGGGGTTGTTGGGGTGGGGTGGGGCTGTTGGGGTGGGGTTGTTAGGGGTGGGGTTGGGGTTTTTCCACGGTCTGGATGCTTTCAACGACCAGACCCTGTCCCCTACGCTTCAGGTATCCCCTTATTGGTGCCATGGCTTGTGTAGAGGGTACATGGGAAATCATCCCCAACCTCCAGTCCGGCAATCCCAACAACCACTTGGAGGGAAGCTGAATGTGTGACGGCCACAATGGCTCAGACCTGTCAACCCTATCGGGACAAAATGGTGCGTGTGTTCCCTGCTCACAAGAATCCTCTGGTAGATTACCATATTGAGAAAATGTATGGACACTGAAACGAGAATTCTGTTCTAAGCCGTTTGAGAAATGGTTGGTCCACGGAAAAAAAAAGAGTGTTGGATTCCTTCCGAATCGAAGACTGCCTAATTGGGAACATGCGTAGGGTTCCGCAGTAGCTGACGGTGTCACACGGACGAGGCCTACCGAAACGAAAAGGGTCCCATACGTTCGGTTGGTGAATTATCATATGTTGCTCTCATGTATTTGGGGGCGGGGGGGGGGGGGCGGGGGGGGGCGCCTCAACAAAGGGGCCCTCCCGCCAAACAGTAGTTTTGTCCGGAATGTGGGTATACACGTGACATCTTGTATGGATTGGGGCGGCTTGGATGAGCATTGTTTTTCCCCACCAGTTGGACATTGAAGTCTTCTCCCATAGTGCCCCTTTTGGAGGCTTGAAGCATCACCACGATTTGTGTGTTTTCTCTTGGTGATTGGTGATGTTTGCATTGCCAGACTAAACTTACCGGTTCAATTATTTGCTTCTTGGGTGTTCCTTCATTGTCTCTTAGAACCAGAAAACAAGCAATTGTCGCATGGTCTAAGCCTGCCGAGGCTGGACATGTGTAAGATACGGTTGGGGGTGCTTGCAATCATAAAGAATCAAAGGCTACCTGTGTAACAAGTCTAACTAAATGGTGGTTGCTGACGTTTTACGAATCTTTGGCTTTTCCTTGAAACTCTGAAAGGAAATTCACCAACTCCAAAGATCGCACAACTGGCGGTTGGGTGCTTTCCCTGAAACTAACCTCAAAGAATCCCCCCTCCCCCGTGTTCAAAACAAAAGCGACCGCCTACCACAGTGTTTCCTCCATTCCCCTTCTTGGAAGTTTTTTAGTGCAAAGCACCAGTAAAATGATCAACTTAGGGGAAGAAAGGGGTACGCTGTGGGCCCCAGTGTTTTGCATATGAAACGGTTGTTTTTGCAGACGCGCAAACAGGTTATTTCCAAGGCAAACCAACCGACTCAACACCAATCCGCACCCTTCTGAGGGGAAATCCAGTGACTACACCAGAAGCCCTCGCTTGACCAGACATCCCAGCCTTGAGGCCAACCCACGCTTGGACGTGGTGGTGCAAACCATCAACCACTGCTCGGTGAACGTGGCGCATTTCGCCATTGTCTTCCTTGCCATCTTCCTTTGCTCCTCGAATATTTGTTTTCTCGGTTTTTCCTTGTTTTTTTTTGTTTTCCTCCGCGGGTTGCGAACCCCTTCAAACATCTTGGCGGGGGGGGGGGGGAATCTATCCTACCACCAACCGAAGAAAGGGCACTCTCTCCCTTTTTTTCCCGTAGCTCATGAAAGTTTACCTTGACTGTTATTGGGTTGGATCTTTAGACTTGAACTTTTTGGGAAATTCAAGGGGTTTCCACTAAACCCCGAAAAATCACATGTTTTTTCCAGGGGGGTCGTTGCAGCAACCGAGTTGCTGCCATTGACATGTTGGTTTAGTTGACTCCTAGCCTTGGCCCGCCCCACGTTCACCTTGGAGGGGGCGGGCACCTTCAACATCAAACAGGGTGGGCGCGCGCTCTTCTTTTCCCGTGGCCACGCATGTCTTCAACGAAATTGGCATGTGTGCTTTAGCTGAGTTGGTGTGTTAGTTTGTTGATTCTGTTCATGGGGGGGCTGCAAACAACAATAATTGTTTTTTTGCTACCATAGCAAGGTTCTGGGAAGTTGAGGGCTAGCGGCTTACTATGAGTTTCTGGACTTGGATGGGGGTCTCCTCCACGTATGGAACAGAGTCATGGACCATTTGTTTGGAGCATCCCAAATGACGGCCCAGTTGAGTCACTTTGCGACCAGTTTAGCCTCAGTTTAGCGGCAAGCAAAGGTTCAGATTTTTTTGGCCACTCTGCCAGTGAAATGGATGTTTTCCAAACCAAGGGTGCCTTTTTTCATGATTTTGATGAGTCTTTGTGCTGCAGCGGGGTTGTCTGAACAGTAAATCAGGGGACTCGCAATTTTCCAGAATCCTTTTCGAATTGGTTTTACCTGTTTGAGGTTCCCGAAGCATGAACCGTCATCAGCAGGCATACATTTGGTTCCATGCCAGGTGAGCAGTCCCTGTTGGACATTTAGTATGGCCGTTGTAACATGTTCTCGCCAGTGTAGAACCGCACGTCGGCATGTTTTTGGGCGCATGAGGTTGGGAGAAGACGAGGCGTTTGCTTTACGTCTCGGTTCTTTGTTTAGTTGATCTTTTTCGGGTCTCATTGCGAGTGGGCTGCAAAGAAAGTTTACAATCACGGCTTGGAAAGTCCAGGTTTGGGAGTCGGAACGCGCTGCGTCGTACCCGAACACAGCGCTGTGACCCCCTAGTCTTGACACTTCGGCTTCCATTTCTGTGCGTGATTTTCCTTGTTGGCTTTAAAGGGAACTTATCACTACTGGAAATATGTTTTGTTTTTTGTCCAGGGGGCTTAAAGCAAAAATGGAAGTCGTCGTCCCCCCCCCCCCGCCGCTGCTTTGCGGTCTGGCGGTTCCCGGTGCGCTTCGTAGGCTACGCTTTCGCGGGGCATTTCCTGCTGGGGCACAAGCACAAGGGCTGGAGCTCCATGCTGGGCTCGCAGCTCGGCGCGGAGCTTAAACCGCCAGCTTGGCTTGAAACCCTCCCCGAGTTCAGGGGGGTTTATATGGGTATGGCCTTGATTTATGGGGTTTTGGGGTATGGCCTTGATTTATGGGGTTGTGGGGTATGGCCTGGGTTTTTGGGGTTTTGGGGTGTGGTTTATAGGTATTGGCTTGGTTTATGGTTTGTTGGGTGTATACGTGCCACAACTTTGGGGGGAAAAAAACGAGACACTAAACATATAAAGACGTTTGACCCCAAGAAAACAACTCAAAACAGTAAGGTGTTGGGTGGCAAGGACTTCGCACTCCCTTTGGTACTGGGCTTTAGGCACTTGTTTGGGGGATTTCTGGACCATTTGAGTGGCACGCAAGTTCATGGACTCTACAGGTCTTGGGAGTGATTTGGACTTTTTAGTGGCACACAAAAAGTTTGAAAGCTTTTTGGGGCCTTCCACTCCGGAGGTGAGACTCGCCTTTTTTTATTCGAATCGAGCTGCGTGCCAAAAACCCCCATCTTGCAGGGTGTGCATGTGCCGCAACCCTCCTCTTTTTTCTTTCCTCGAGTCGAGCTGCCTGCCAGCCGGGCTCGCAGGGTGTATATGTGCTGGTCCACGAGTTTGAGCATGGACATGGTCAAGGAGTTCTCGGTGCCCATCCAGGCGGTGTGCTTCGCCTGGACCCTGAGCTACCAGGTGCTCGTGCAGCAGGCCAGCGCTGCCGGTTGTAATGCATGGTCCTGTCCGTCTCTGTGTTGCCTCCATTTCTTTAGCTGCTAAAGATTACTTTTTCTTTTCCCTTGTTGGTCTTAAAAGGAATTCATCACTACCTGATTTTCTTAATTTTTCCTGGGGGCCTTCACCAAATGGAAGGTTGCGGTTTGCTTCTTGGGCTGTCCGCCATCTTACCTTTGAACCAGCAAGAAGTCAATTAGCCTAGCTATGTTTCCGCACGTGGCGATTGAGAGAGCAAGAAGTCAAAGTGTTGCAGGGGGTCAAGGTCTCGCCCACTTGTCAAATTGTCTTGGGTTATGTGGTGAAATTTCTAGGCACTAAGCCAAGTCCAAGTCCGAGACCATGCAAGTTGTGGGAGACTCACAACTGACTGGAGTCTCTTACACTCTTGAAAGTACCTGGACAGGTGCCCATTTGGGTGTCATGACCGGCAATATATATGGCTGTGGGTCAAAACCAATGGTACCATTTTGGGGTACGTGCACCACCCATTTTAGTCTTTTTTTCAAAAAAAAATGGGATTGGGATGTTCACTGGGGGTACGGGCTTTTGACCCATGGCCATATGTTGGAACTCCTTGGGTGTTACTAGTATCCTACATACTACCCACTTGGGGGAACGAATCCTAACTGGGGAACTCTTCACCAGTTACTACGGCACAGGTGATGTTGAACATGTTGTACTGCATCGTCTTCGACTCCTACGCGTACGTGAAGAACCGCTCCTGGGTCGACAATTGGTGCCACAAATGCTTGCCCCGCAAAATGGATGGTTTTCCTTGTTCGCTTCCCCTTAAACCAATCCCAAAATGGCTACACACAAAACATGACACACCCAAATGTGTATTCATGCAAATCGGGGAGCCTTGGGGCATGGAAAATTAGGATTGATGTCCACCAGGTGGGAGGGTGCTCCTCAGCAAAAATCAGTCAAATGATGCTTCGAACAAGCTCCTGCAGGAATCTCTTTGTGCCTGTCGCAAAAAAAAACGGTAATTACCCAAAATGAAGCCGTAAGTGGAAACATGGGTTACCCAAAACCTGAGGTTTGCCTCTCCGATCGTTTAATTTTGCGCCACCCCCATGCGGCCTCCCTTTGCTTTCAACTTTGGGGGCCCCGAGAAAATCGTGGTAACGAAGCTCCCGAAGGTGACAGGGGAGAACCACTAGATGTCGGATCCAAAGCGAATCGACCGGATCTGACCTGTATGTTTTCCAATGGTGGCCCATGTTTAGCAGGGCTCCTTAAAAGATACATGTTGCAACCATTTGAAACATGGCTTTTTCCACCAAAATAAAGGTTCAGGTGGATCCATTGTAAGGATCCCTGTTTTGTCATGACCGCCCCAAGGGCAACCTTTTGTTTCTGGGTCCGTTGGGCAACTGAGTAAAACAAAAGATGTGCTTCCTTGTTGTTGGTCAATCCACTCGGAAGCGAGCCATCTTAGCTTCTCGGGTATCACAAACATGGAAGAGCAAAACACGAAAAATCTAGAGTTCAAAGCATCGCCCGGAGACAAACAAAACGCAAAAGGATATTTGGAGCAGGTAATTAGAGGTTGGGGGGTTTCAAAAGGTCTGATGAACATGGGATGACAATTTAAAAGCCGCTCCAGACCAACATGGAAGCTCCCAGACCAGCGAATCCCCACTAAAACCGGGGAAAAGTACCCCCAAGTCAACATTCAGATGATCATTTGGGACAATCTCACTCAAGCATGAAACACAAAAATAATGTTTTGGTCTCACTTGGGTGCCCCTTTTGAATCCGAGTGTATAAAGAGGCTGATTTCAAAACCACAGGCCTTCTCAAGGGTCGCTCTCTTTGAATCCGGGGGTTGCATTCCTCGGGGGTCCAGTCAACCAGTCAGTCGGCCAAGGCTCGGGCACCCCCCAGACGCTCTTCGCGCAGATCCGCTCTGCGGCGGCCACGGCGCGGGAGACCCGGGGCTTCGTGAACCTCTACACGCTCATCGTGCAGCTCGAGGCGCGGACCGGGAAGGAAAAAGACGGACGGGGATGGGGATGGGGGGAGGGGGAGGGGAGGGGAGGGGAGGGGAGGGGAGTGACCCGAAAAAAGGCGGAGGGAGACGGAGGGAGAAGGGGGGGGGGGAAGGGGGGTTATATTTTTTGTTTTTGACTACCTTAAAAACGGGAGACAGAGGGGGGGGAACGGGGACGGGGGGGAGGGCGAGCTCGCCGATTCGAGGGTAAAACGAGCTCACCGTAAAGATCCTCTACTACGAGATTCCTGATTTCAGGCTTTGGGAATATCCACGCTTCGGGCGCGAGCCGGAAAAAATATTGCAGATTTGGTTTGCAGATCCAGATTGTGATTGTTTTTGCGGATTTGGTTTGAACTACCTGAAGGTTGGATAGCCCAGGTTCAAGTCTAGCAGGTCGAAACATGAAACCCTGGAAAAGCGCCGCTCGCCAGCCGAGGGTCCCACTTGGCCGTGCTCAGGGGGGGGTCGTCCGATGTTTGTGAAGCAACACCACTTGGCTGTGGCTCAAAAAACGGTAGTTACCCAAAATGGAACCGGATCGGTAAGTGGAAACATGGGTTACCCAAAACCTGCGGTTTGCCCCTCCTGTTTAATTTTGAGCCACACCCACTTGACAACTGGTGATTAAGTCTCACGAACCATGAAGCCTTCGATTTCTTGATGAGTCAACCTAAAAAGACTCGGATGCCCAAACCTTCATGTGTTTGCGCCGGAGTCTTTTTGCAGTCTCTTGAAATTGCCTGGCAATGTGGGTGACCTACGGACCCACTCAGGTGACCTACGCGGGATGCCCGAAGTATTGCAAGCGAACCAACCCTACACTCCAAAACCATGGTAAATCAGGATTTTCACAGGGGTGAGGGTACCTTTTTTGTGGCTTTAAAGGGCAGCTGAAGGAAACACGCCATATTGGAGGGGTTCCACCTTTAAAAAAGCACCAAGTGGGTGTGTTTGTTTTTATGGGACCCCTAAAAGAAAAGTTGGTTTCCTTTTGATGTTAATCTGCAGGAGCGTAAGAACCTGGATGATTCCCATGGGAAACCAAAAGGAAACCAAGCATTCTTATGGGGTCTCTAAACCCAGTTTTGCGAATTTCCTCTAGGCAGGCAAATGCATCAACGGAGAAATCCAGGAAGCCCTCTCTGTAAATCGGCCAGCGTGGGCTTGTTCACATTCAATAGGGAAGCCAAAGCTGGAACCCGCAAAATGCATTGGATCCCAAATATGCGTTGTGTTTTTTCACTCAGGCGTTGGTGTCCTCACGGAGCCTGAGTTCCTGCACTCTAAAGCTCTTGCCCTTTATCTCCCCTTTTTTGGTTGGGAAATAGACGACAGGGAAAAAAAGAGGGCACCCTAACCTCTAACCTCTCTACTGGAGGACCCAGTTGGGCTTGGACAATGTTTGTTTCGTGTAAAGGTTTGGACTTCAGGCCAATCCACTGGATGGGAAGTGGATCGTGTCTCCATGTTCTCAGCCCAGGCCTGACGACTGTGAATGCTTGCGAGGAAGCCAGTCTTTGCTGGTGACCTTGGGGTTTCTTTGATTGCTGGTGCGAAATGGACGTCGCGGCTCCATCCGCAGCATGAGCTGCTAACATGTATGAAACCCTATGAATACCGGATCACTCCACAAATCCTAGCTGCAGGTCCATTTACTTAAGAATATGTTGTTTTTTTCCTTGTTGGTTTCAAAGGGAATCGATTTCACTACTGGAAATATTTGTTGATTTTTTCCCGGGGGCTTAAGCAAATGGAAGTGCAAGATGTCAGCATCCACAGTATACCCATCTGAAGCACGCGGCTGGATCCCATAGGTCCAAGGCATTTCCATGCCAGGACGATGACTTCCCGGCGCACCCCAACGAGGCCTTGGGGCCTTGGGGGGGATCGGCAAGCCCGAGCATTTGTTGTTCCTATGGTTTCCGCTACCCCCAAACCGAAGCTACCGATCGAATGCCGAGATCGGCGGCAAGCCCGAGCATTTTGTTCCTATGGTTTCCACTGCTGAACCACTACCCCCAGTGGGTAAATGGGACATCCGCCGTATGGCCACCATAGAAAGAATCTATGCCCCATGCTATTTTGTGGGGGGCAGTGGCTTGAGGGTCACAGAAACCATGGAAGGTCAGGGCAAGCCGGGATTCAGAGGGAACCCGACCCCCGAGCGGGCCTCCTTGCCGGCCGGCAGTCGTGAGCCTGTGAGTGTTGCCTGCATGTCCTTCCAAACCACCAAGCGGAGGGAAGCTGTTCCTTTTATTTGCTGAAATGAGTATGCTGTATTTTCCCCTGTTCAAAGGGAATGGATTTCACTGGATGATGTTATTGTATTCCATCTCCAGGGGACGAACAACGCAAATCAGGTTACCCTTAATTGGTGGTTTGGATTCGTGGTTTGGATTTGGATTGGAACCCGGGTTCTTGTAGAGGTTGAATGGGAAACTGCCCCTAACCACCTGAAAATCAGAACCCTTCATTTTTTGTTTTTTTTTGGGGGGAAAGGAAGAACATAACAACATCCAGTGAAATCGGTTCCCTTTCAACCAGGGAAAAATAAAGAAAAGCCATGTGAGCCACAATAAAATCCCTAGATTAGGGTCAGAAAGGGAGAATCCCCTTGCCATAAATAGCTGCGGAGATCCGCCTTCTTATTTCTTGAAGCATGGTTCTGGGATTACGACCATTTTAATACCGGGTTTTGATTTTCTTGGTGGCTCCCGAAGGCCATCCGCTTCCTTAGCTTAGCTTTTGTGGTAGTTTCCATTTTTGCTCCACTAAAAGTTCCCCACTTTTCAGCACCGGGTTTGATTATGACTCATGTGGGTCAAAACCAATGGTACCATTTTGGGGTATACAGGTGCACCACCCATTTTAGAACCTACTTTAGTGGTTGGATTGGTTGATGTTCACTGGGGGCTAACCGGAGTTTTGACCCCTGGCCATGTCAGCCAAACGGCGGGGGTCTGATTTTGTGGTCCACCCCCATCCCACCACCCCCATCCCACCCATTTCTTGAAGCATGGTTCTGGGATTACGACCATTTTTTCATACCCTCAGTTCTTCAGTGGCTCCCTTTTCCCCTCTTTTTTGGTGGCTGCCGTAGCCCCAAAAAGGGGTCCAATCCTTTTCTTTCCAGGGTCACTGAACGTACCGGGCTCCGCGGGTCCCCATCCCGGGTCATCGGTCTCCATCCAGGTGGTGACGGTCCGCTCGCTGAAGCGCGCCTTCGAGCGCGACGGCATGAGCCGCCTGAACGCGGAGTACTTGATGCGCCAGACCGCCGACTACGCGCAGGAAAAGGGCGAGGACCCCGGCGCGTTTTTCTTGTTGCTGTGTTTTCTTTTAGTTTTTTTTTTTTGGGGGGGGGGAGGGTTGAAACCCCGGCTCGGTTTTGATTAGAGGGCCTTTCTGGTTCGAGCTTGGTTCGAGCTTGGGTTGGATCCAACTCCCAGGTCCTCAATACCAGTTCCTGTTGAATAGGTCCCCCCAGCCAGGTGCCCTTCTTAGCCCCTTTCTTTGGGTGGGAGGGTTCCCCTGCAAAAATAGACTACAGAAAAAAGTTGGTACCCCAACCTCTAACCTCTCAAATCTGGAGGACCTAGTTGGGGTTCGACTTAGGTGTTTTTAGCCATCCCGTTTGGAGTTCTCATGTAACCCACAAGTTAAACTTTCAGCAGGGGATCTGAAACGGACAGCCCAAATGCGATGATCGCGAAGGTTCGGCGATGAGCGGCAAACACGTGGCCAGGGGCAATTTGGGTGTGTCTTTTTGTTAGGGGATCCTCCCAAGAAAGATTTTTGTTGGGGTCTTTTAGTTGTCCTTTAAAACCAGCACAAAATGGATACCTTCAACACAACACAACACAACACAACACAACACAACACAACACAACACAACACAACACAACACAACACAACACAACACAACACAACACAACACAACACAACACAACACAACACAACACAACACAACACAACACAACACAACACAACACAACACAACACAACACAACACAACACAACACAACACAACACAACACAACACACACAACACACACACACAGACACCACACACATACACACTCAGCAGCTTATCAGTATTTCGCCAGTTACTCATAATTACAGCTATCCCCTTTGGCAATTTCTAGGGGCAAAAGCATGGATAAGGCTTGCTGGTTCTTAGGGAAGGGAGGAATGACGCCACTGAACCATTCCTTGTTTGTTTCCTTTCGGGGATAGGCTCATTGCCAAAATGCATCCTGATGACATGTGCGGCAAGCACATGGCAGTCGATTGGAGCCAGCCCGGCGGGTTGGTCATAAAGTTTCGAACCCACGGGTGGGCGTTGTTTTGGTGTTTGCTGAAAATCAACTAAAGGGGGGTTCCCCGAAGAAAGCACACCCGGTCCGACCCCTGGGTTACAGCCTACCTTGTAGCCAAAACACTGGAACCCATAGAGGCATACCGAGGCTGCCTTTTCCACTTGCCATTTCCACATTTGACCCTCACCCAGCCCAGCTGGATTGATGCCACAAGCAGCATGACGGCCTCGGAATCTTCGCTTGGCTTACTCTGCGTGTTCCACTTTTGCCTTTTTCCCGCTTCCTGCTCCGCAAGTACCGCTTGGCACCCAACAAGGGTAAGGCCTGCTGTCCCATGGATCCCATTGCCAGTAGCAACAAGCAGTTGCCAGAATGACGAGAAACCAAAGGGCGCGATAGGATTTGGAAGCTGTCCCGATCGCTCTCCCTTGTCTTTGCTTGCTTGTTTGCCCAATGATCATGGCTGAGATGTTGGGTGCAGCATGTAACCCCTTCCCGATATGTCCTTGTCCCTCGAAGAGCAAAGCAACGTGTCCTTTGCTTTAAATGATTCCTGTGGCATAGCGCCACACTTGAACTACCAACTTGTTCAGGCTACGATACTCCTGACTAAAGCAACAATCTATTCGCCATTGAACACTCAGAACAGCCCAGGCATCCCCACGGCCACCCCAAAACTATTCGGAGCCTTTAGGGGTATGGACATGCGTCTGGTCTGTGAGGACGTGGAGATTACCCTGTCGGACGCCATTCGTGTGACTTTGCTGCTATGGGGGTCCACTTTTGCAGGACCCCATGAAATGGGCGTGCTTTTTTTTTCCGGAGGCTCGGTACCCTTGTTGGGGTGATTTGAAAGCCAAACCAACAGGACACCTCAATTTTGAGATTCTCGTGCTTGACGCATACCCGAATGCTGCTGAGAAAAAAGGCCTTCTAGTGGTATCACGGAGTAATAATGGAGGGGTTACTGAATACGGGGGAACGCCTGTTTGTATTTTCCGGGGAAGACATCACGTGGAAGCCTTACCGACTCCATGTCTTCACAATCCGGCAAGCAGTCTAAAGATGCCTGGGGAAACTAGCTGAGCAACTGGCACCATTTTCTGAACTGCTTGAGGCACAATCAAAAGCACGGCAAATGAAGCGTAGCAAGGGACAGTCTGAACCAAGATCCGGGGTTTAGATCTTTATATTCGTTTGGGTAGACAAGTTTGATAGGTTTGATGACCCTAGGTTAGTCACCCAGGTTAGAAACCTAGGTTAGTCACAAGTTTGCTGGGTTAGTCACCTAGGTTATTCCTTTTTCAGGTTGGGGTTAGAACTAGATGGGCTCCACTGGTTTAGATGGGTGTTGTTTCCGACTACCAGGGCCATCGCTTTTTTCCCCCAAAAGAACACCTATGATTCCGTGTGGATCAGCATGTCGAGCTGGCAACTGTCTGACCGGTTGAAGCGAACAGGGCAGAAGTTCACCCATGTCCTTAATTGTCTTTTGAACATGGGGGATCAACCCAAATGAGGGGTCATGACCCCACGTTTCAAGGGTCATGGAGACTCCAGGTAGTTTGTTTTGCGCCATTTTAGTGGCAGACCAAATGATTTGGACTTTTTTCGGCCAATCAGCTCGTGAGTTGCATGTTGTGTAGTGCTTTGTTCCCTTACTTGTTTCCTAGCTAAAGAGGCAAACACGTCACGGCTCGGACACATATCCTGCGCACTCCCTAGGCTTCCTTCACACCTGGGGAGTTGTTTTTTACAGCGCGAAGCCGACGAGGGAGTCTGTGCACCCGATTCCTGGAGGTACTGACCCATGTCCGGAAGCAGAATGAGACGATATGACTGAAACGCCCAGATGAGTGAAGTTGGCGGGTGGTTTTGGTCAGAACACTTGAAGAATGTCTCGCTTCGATCTGAGGTGACCGGCCACATTCAGAAGCTTCACGGCATTTGGGTGCGTCTTTCTCTGGAGGGTACCTTTTTTGGTGAGTTCAAGAAGCCAAAGGGAAAACAAAAGCCATTTCGGAGGTTCCCCCATGGTTGCAGATCCTTCGTGCACAGGCGACCAACGAAAACAGGGTGCCGATATTCGTCTTTCAAACCTGGACATCCGCTGAAAGTCCGGGTCTTCCTGGAGGATGCTGGTCTGATTTTTCGGGGTTTTGTGAGTTGTACTGTGGGTGGACGAAATCCGTTCGCACCACGTTGAAACCATGGTTGAAACCATCCCTTGTTGGCGTTTACGGGGGAATCATCCGAAACCAGGGTTTCTTCGGTGGTGCGAAATACATTTCGCAACCATCCACAGTACTCCTGGCTGGTCTTTGTTACCCCAAAGGTTTCCCCCAGGAGCTCCGACTGGTTTCGTCCTTGGCTTGGCACGGGTCACTGGGCTCCCCATTTGGGTGTGTCTAAGGGTACCCTTTGTGGGGTGTGTGTGTGTGTTTTTTGTTTGTTTTCTGTGGAGTTAAAGGGAAGCCACCCGTTTGGAGGCTTTTGAAAACTGTTTTGAGCCACATCCGAACGCCAGTTTTGGTAAGTTTCCTTTGTGAGGGGAAGTATGGGGAGGTTTATGCAGCTGAGAAGGAGATGGATGGAATGAGTCAGCGCCCTTGGCTGCTCCCAACCTCAGACATGGAGACAAAAATACACGCGAGCGCAAGAACGACTGTGTACATGCTTTGTCAGAGCTATATCGATCATGCCAAGCTTCTACATCACGGGATATATATGTGTATATATATATATATGTATATATACATATATATATACATATATATATATATATATATACATATATATGTATGTACGTACATATATATATATACATAATGTATATATAGTTGTACAGATCTGAAGAACCGGCGAACCCCCCAGGTGCATAAACTCAGATACGCTGACACGTGAGCGATGCCTTCCCAGAGCCTGCCCGGGGCCAAATTTTCACCACGGTCTTTCGAGCAACCCTGGCAAGGGTTCCACATGCAACCACAGGCTGATTGGGTCTTAACCCTCAAAAAAGTGGCTTCATGCAACAGGCTGATTGGTGGTCAGCGACCCCTGAATTGGAAGATGGCATGGAATCCGATTGAAGGCAGAAGGACCACCCACAGACACTGTGAAACGCTCCAAAAACGAGCTTTTGCCACCCGCCGAACACTGCTCGGTTTGATTGGAGTCTTGCCAAAAAAAACCGATGTGGTTATCTAAGCATTGCCAGACTTGTTTGCCCGTCAAAGGGGGTCCTTTGTTTGTTCTTACCTGCCAACAGCTATATATGTATCGGCCGCAATTTAAGTGTGTTTGAAGGGTGAGATGAATTAAATGGTCCAAATGTAGTTCATGGGGGGGTGCCGTGACCATATGTATATATATATATATATATATCGCTTTATGCAGGGGCTCGGATGTGTGCCAAGTTTGGGGTGGCTGAGGAACACGATGCTCAAGAACTTAGTCCTGTCCGAGGACTCCTTGGATATGATTACCACCGAAGCGCGTGACCTGATTCGAAGGGGAGGTGGAGGTGGAGGGTGGAAGCAGCCAGATGGGTCTTGTTGTTTCTTTTGTTGTGGTGTTTTTTGTGTTTTGTTTTTTTTGTTGTTGTATTGTGTGTGTGTGTTTTTCCTGTTTGGGGGGACGGGGGACTTTTGTTTTTGTATGTGTGTGTGTGTGTTTTTTGGTTGGGGGGGGGGGGGGTAAAAGGAAACCAAAAGGAGTATCACCCTGTTTGGAGGGTCCCCTAAAAAAGACACCCAGATGTAGAAAACAACTCCCTGTAAATCAGGTTGTCGTTGGAGATAGCCTTTAGACCCTGCAAAAGGTACAAATTGAAGGGGAATTGACGCTGGTTTTGGAAAATATGCGTGCAACCAGAAAATATGTTGCAACCAGCCCGCGTCCAAAACCCTGGTTCAACTACCCCAAAGCATGGTAACTTCTCCGGTTGTTCATGCAGATTTCTGTGCGGGAAGCCTCCTTCCTTGGCAAAAACCCAGCCGTTCGGTTCCTTTTTTTTCCGCTTGGTGGTTGGGTTTTTTCATCTAACCCACTGGCTCTGAGTCACTGAGGACAGCCCAGCTTTGGACCAGGTGTCCCTTTCTTGTGTCCATCAACATGGTCTCCATTGAACTTGCAACTTTTCGAGGTTCCCTTTCAAAGAAAGAATGGGGGGACGAAGCACCACTCTTCTTGATGGGCACCCCGCACCGCAATACCCACTTTGGGGCCGCTTTCTTTGCTCCCTTACGCGGGACGGAGCCGGTCTCGAGCGGTGGAAGCAAGACGGGGTTTCCTTTCAAATGGACCATCTGGTGGGTTCCAGGTGGACAGCTGGGAGCACTTTTGGGCAGTTGCGTGTTCCAGTATATAACCAGCAAGCAGATAAAACAAAATCCACTTGTGGGCGCTGGCGAAGCAACCAGCACCTGACTCCCCCTACTTTTTGGGATTGGACCATTTGAGTGGGTAAATAACAGGTTTAGACATTTGGCCAACCAATTAATTTGGAAGTGAGGCAAACAGAGGCCATGGTTCTAACCACAATCTTCAGCACACCGCGTCACCCCAGAGCTTCCATAGCCCTGAATTCAGTTGCCACCATTAAAACAACGGGTGGGTTCATTTAACCACCACTGTTTACCTAAGGATTGTCATCCTCCAAAGTGGGTCCCAAGGCCGTTCTTTTAGTTGTTGCAAGGAACCCTAGGGATAGGGGTAAGAAACAAATCGCGTCACGTCGCGTGGAGTCAAAGCTGAGCCTAGGGCCCCCAGTAGTGCCCTTTTACCATTTTTTTTTTTGGGAGGGTTCTCCTACTAAGATAGACGTCCTGAAAAATGTAGGTACCCTTATTTTAACCTCTCTACTCGAAAACCTAGAATCAGACCTCCCCCTTTTGTATAATGGGTTCCTCCAGCTTTTGGTGCTCACAGTCCAAAAGACGTACCAACTTCGTCTAACCTCTCAAATCTGGAGGACCTAGACTAAGAATCCTGGGACATGACAAAACAAAAACGTGAGGTCCAGGACCTCCTGATGCTTAGGGCTTAGAGCCCAGGGAATGCCATCGGCTTTTTTGTGAGAGTTGCCTTAGGACCTGGGAGCTGAGGCAACAAGGAGGCGGCCGAGAAGCAACAGGACCGCGCCGCCTTTGTGTCCAACACCTTGGGTGAGATGCCGCAGTTCGAGAAGGTGGAGGGCAAGGACTCACCCGAGCGACTCGAGCGACTCGAGCGAGCGGCTCGAGGCTTTTGAAAATCCGCTTCGGAGGGAAAGAAATGGGTGTGGGTCAAGATTAAACCAGGATATGGACCGCAGATGAGTGAGTCCTTGGTTCCATTTACCAGGCTTCTATTTTGGGTACCCATTTTTGACCCACAGCCAAATGGGGAGGCACACGGGGTGTATCTGTTTTTGAGATATGAGTCCATTGGTTGGAGATTGTTGTTGGAGGAACCGAGCGCCGGAAGGAGAATGAGCAGAGGGTGTATTGGTTTTGGACGTGTCCATTTGTTGGGGCTAGTGTTGCTGTTCTTTTTTTGGGACGGGGGGCAAGATACACCCACTCAAATGGCCAAAACAAAGAGACAAACTTCCCCCCGCTGTTGGTCGGTATCTGGGGTGGGGCAGATGCAAGGAAGCCTTCCACATTGTGGGCAAAAACGCATGAGTTCAAATCCCCGCGGTTCATCGTTCCTCCATTCGGGGCAGGGAGAAGAGGAGAGCAATTCCTCTCAAAGCAAGAAACCGTTTGGTCAAGTCTCGCCATTGGGCTAGCCTTTTCAGCCCCTTCAACACGGACTTTGATGGCCTCCTGTCGTTGGCGGAAGAAACCGTTTCTCCGGTGGGGTTCATGGCAACGTGGAAAGGAGGGTAATTACCCAATACGCGTGTGTCTTTTTGGGGGGGGACCCTTCATGTTGTGGTTGTTCTTTTGGTTTCCCTTTAAAACCCGCAAAACGAAGTGGTAAGATCCAAACAAAGGCGAGCCGCCCATATGCTAGACTCCTTAGCTCCCCCATTGGGCATTTGACAACTTGGAACCCTTGGTGTTCTAGACTAGTTTGATTGAAAATAGATGGGTTCCGCTGATTTACATGTACAGGGCCATCTTTCTTTTACCAGAAAGTCACCTACTTCCATTGGCAATGAATAGTTGTTTATGTCCCCTTGGCTTGAAAGGGAATCCGCTGGACATATTTTTGCCTTTTGCCAACCGGCTGTGTTCCAGCGGCTCAAGAAGCGCGGCCGGCCGGGAGCCCGAAGCCAGCGCTTGAGTCGAGGACTCCGTGGCGGATGAGACCTGCGACGCGCTGGAGCAGCACTTGATTCACGTGTCCACGACCTTGCAGGCGTTGTGAGGGGCGAGTGAGTCGATCGCTGGGGCTGGATATGTTATATTCGCCGGGACGGAGCCGTAACCTCACCCCTTGTTTTTCTTGTTGTTTGTTTGGATTGGTCGCTTCTCGTTTGGTTTCCCTTGAACATCGAAGAGAGCCAACCGCAAAACAAGTCACAGCTTTTTCGGTTGGTTTAGGGACACTGGAGAACTAAAGGGGGGGGGCCTGGAAGACGAACTTCTTTTGAAAGGAACCGTTTCCCTGGTGAATTCCATGGCAACGGGAACAAGAGGGTATTTCTTTGTTGTGACTGGTTCTGGGGGTAAGTCAGAAACCGGCATTAGGCCCTTTCAGCTCAGATGAATTTGATCGTGGTCAAAAAAGAAAGAAAGAAAGAAAGGAACAGTTGAGTCCGTATTTGGCTCACTGCCTGAGTTCATGGGCGTCAGTCATTTTTCGGATGGTTTGGACCATATTAGTGGCGGTTGCTATGGGAAGTGGGGGTTGTCTATTTTGGGGAACCCGGTTGAAGTTTTCCTTCAGAAAGTACCCTCAAAACAATCACCCAAAGGACACAAAAAGCTATGTTTTCTTGGCCCACTTTCTGTGATACCCTTTGGCCAATCCCCTGAAATCAGCAGAAACCACTAACGGTGTCACGAAAAGGTTTATTTTGTTTTCCAGGGGACTTCGGCAACTGGTCTAGAAACGATTTGGATGTGGCGAATCTGTGGATCTACCCCTGTAGCTTTCACGAGGACCTTTCGTCAGCCCCGATTTTTCGAAAGGCAGAAGATCATGGGGAATACATCAGTCGACGCAGTCCCAAAAACATTCGGACCTTGGAATTTTCAGGACGGTTATGTCCCGCCCTTTGGGCAGATCTGTTGGAGGCGCTAAGGGGTGGTCCAGAGGGGGTCCCTAAGGCTCCCTAAGGAACTCTAGGAAAAACTACGGAACCATAGGGCTCTCAACTACACCCCCGGTACCTACCCCTCTTAGGGATTTTACAATGATCAGGCGACCCCTAATTGGTGGTTTGGACTGGTGGGGGTTCGAGGCCTGGTTCCTGTTAGATGGGAAACCACGAACCAAACCTCCGAACCTCAAATCCAAGCCAATAGGGAAGCTGACACTACACACTTGGGTGAAAACTAGGTCAGTGGCTGGCGCAATCTCCAAATGTGTTTTTATTTTAGCCACCCCCTTCCAAATGTTGTGTTGTTTTCTTTTTTGTGTTGTTGTTTCTTGGTTTAGTCACCCTCTTTACTTGCCCATACGGGAACTCTGCCATCCTTCACTCAAATGTTGTTTTTTTCTGTTTTAGTCACCCCCTTCACTTGCCCACAAGGGAATTCTACCATCTACTGTCGCCCTGTAGCTTCGGAAGCTCAGGAGTGCCGCCAAGAGCAGGCCAACATGGCGGCGGACGTGAACGCTGCCCTAGAGGCTCGAGGGTAGAAAGCCCAATAGGCAACAATCGAAGTTTGGGCTTGGGGTTCCTTGGGGTTTCTTCGGGATCATACGACCGAATTCACACCAGGCTGGTGGTTTATGTGGGGAATATCCCAACCACCAAAAAAAGCATTCTGGTGAAATATGATTCAGATCCTTAGGGACCCTTAGGGTTCCTTGCAGGTTGCTTGGGGTTGGGGATTGCTTTCAATGCCAGCCGACCCAGAAACTGGGAGCTGATATGAACCTAATAGCTGAAGATAGCTGAACATTAAAAAAGAAGACGGCTTCCCCAAGTCATCAACCCCAGTGGGGATAAATCGGATCCGATCCCTGGCCCCAGTTGTTTCGTCCCTTTGAGAAGCTCAATCCTCACCAGCGGATGCATGGCTTCGCATGCCCCTTTCGATGGGCTTCTGGACCCGTTGACTTAAGCTCGATGTGGATGGAAAGCGAAATCCAAATCACGCGCCACGAAATGAAGCCAGGGTTGAAACCATACCGTTTGTTGGCATTTACTAGGGGAATCATCAGAAACCAGGGGTTCTTAGGTGGTGCGTTGCATGGATTTCGCAACCATCCGCAGTATTTGTGGTCATAGACGCACAGAGGGTGTTTTTTTTTCCCGGGTATGATGTCAACCCCTAAACATGGAGGCGTTTGCCTTTCAGAGCCTGGTGTTTCAACATCCAACTGAGCCACTGGGTATGAGCTTTCGAAACGAGCTGGTCCTGTTCTGGGACCTTTGACCCCATACATCTTGGGCCCGCGATATCCAATGCGCACATGGAGATTGATTAAAAGGTCCCTATGGGAGGACCATAGAAAAAACAACCAAAAAGACAACTCCCCCATCTAGGCCGAATCAGAATCGGCTCTTTGCAGGCTGCGATCATCGGGAATCAATTGGATTTGCTTGCTGTTTGGCTTAGGTTGATTCACTTCTCAAACTATTTTATATAGGGCAGTATGGGCCAGACTACACAGACTCAGAAGGTACTTCCGTTTGCTTAAGAATATGTTCTATTTTCCACTGTTGGTTTTAAAGCAAACGATTTCACTGCTGGAAATGTTCGCTCATTTTCCAGGGGGCATTTTGGCAAATGGATATTATTTTCCGTGTAGCCATTTGTTTGTGGCCAAAAGTTGTGGCCAGTTGCTGTCCTGTCCTTCCCCGAAAAAAAAATGAGCGGCTAGGAGATCTGGAAGCAGGAGGACCGGCGCTACTCCAAGGTGGACCTTCTGATCCATGATTTGGCGCCTTTGGCGAAGGAGTTGTTTCAGCTGGATCGACCTTCTCACTCCCTGAAATCATGGGACTTTAGTCACTTTTTGGGTTTGGACCATCAAGCAGACAAAAAGTCTAGACTGGATGTGGATCTGCGCAGGTGCTCGCTTCAAAGCATGTTGAAGAGTCAAGCCGTGTTGGCAAGGAACAAATCAGATGACACACATCCAAAGGCCGCGTGAATTTATGAATGACACATGCCCACTGTTTGCAAGATTTCAAGAAGGGTAAACTTGATGCGCGGTGTACTTGTGGGAAGTGGGACTTCGCCAATCACATGCAGGGCGTGCGGCGCTACTGGGAAGCATTTGACAGTGCACTGACCGAGCTGCCGTGCAGCCAGATGTCAGCCCTAAGAGCAAGGGGAAGAAGCAGAAGGCTTATGAGCAAATCTTGGCGTTTGTTGGGGAAGAGACCGGCCTGCCTTGGCTCATCCACGACTGCTCTCGGGGCGAAGTTGCAACTCGACTCTTTCTGCGCATCCGGCCGTTGACTGTGAATTGGAAGAAGGTCAGCTGGCTTTCCGTGAGAAGAAGCAAAGAGACACGGAAGCAAGACGGGAAAAGCAACGTCTTGCAGTTGAAGGATGAGTGGAAGCGGCTCACAGAGGACCAGAGATTGCCAAGAGAAAAACTGCTGGAGCACTTGAAAGGTCTTTCTGTCAGATGCAACGTGCTGGGCGGAAAATGGTTACTTTTTCTTCCGAACACTAAAATGGATCACGTGTGGGCACAGATTGTATTGAAAGTCAGCAGTGGGCAACTGGGACCAAGCGCAAAAGTGGGGCGAGAAGACCGGGCCGGCAAAGCCGTCTGCTGCGTTTACGTGAACAATTGGCTTGATCAAGAGGAAGTCGAGCGTGTCAGGGAGAACCTTCAGGATCTGCTCCGTAGCCTTGTTGCCGAGGTGACCATCATGCTGAAGCCGGATATCTTTACCCATTGTAACATCTACGCGAACAATCCGTGGAACATTCCAGTCTCTATAGCTACTTGCGAAATACGAGGGTCAGCGACAACACAGGATGTCTTCCAGCAGGACCGAGATGAAATCTCGCGGCTCGCAGAGGCTGTTATGTCGAATTCTTTGGAAGCCGTCACGCCGCGCCTCGAAGATGCTGATGCTTGGGGCGCCTTGTTGGGGTCGCTCCATTGGGTGGCTCTGCAGCCCAATTCTGCTCACTTTTGCATCCCCGACATTTGCGCGGCGCTGCCGGACGAGTTCAGGAAGCACTTCAAGCTGCAACTCGTCTATGGCATGGCTGTTGGTCTTGTGAGGCAGAGAGGGGCGCTCATTTGCAAGCAAAGCAGCCGTTTGTTTTCCTACCCCGAGTTCGTGCGATTGCACCTGGCGAACTTTGATCTTCTGTCTGATCTCTGTTTATGTGGTATTATTGGTCCCCGCGTGCTGAGAGGCTTATTGAGACATTTGCTGTGCGAGGATACCCCGGGCACTATCCTTCCAACACATTCTACATGGGCGTTCATACAGACGACGCTGCAGAGTTTCGTGCAAAAGCTGGCAGAGATTGAGCCTGAGCTCGGCGGATGGGTGCAGCCTCGCGTCATCTCAGAGCCAGAGATCAAGATTTTGACACTGAATGTTTGGTGCCAGGCGGAGTGCCGCGAGCTTCGGACGGCGATCTTGTTGTCAGCTCTGCGCGCGCTGCCAGCAGTTCTGTGCTTGCAGGAGGTCACCCCTAAAGTGGCGGTAGACATTCAGTCCGCGCTGCCATCATGGTCCTCCTCGGATCCGGGCAATGGCTCCTCAGTGGGTCGCGAGGGCGTGATGATTTTAATCCCACCACACTTGCAGGTGCGCTTTTCGTGGCACGATTTGCCCACCAGAATGGGCCGCAGGCTGCTGGCGGCGGAACTGGATGGTCTCACCGTTGGCACTGTGCACTTGGAGTCCGAGAATCAGGATATGCGAGAGGCGCAACTTGCAGCTTGTCAGGAGGTGATGCAGCAGTGGCCCGACATGGTGTTGGCTGGAGATTTCAACCTTTTTTCCGAAGCGAGCGCCGGATGCTTGCAGCGCTTGCCGGAATTTGTGGATTTATGGCCCTTTTTGCGGCAGGAGCCGGGCAATACTTGGCGCTCTCATGGCCACAACCTGCGGAAGAACCGCTTAGACCGGGTCCTCACGAAGCTCGTGCGATGGGAGCCAGCTGGTATCGAGCTGATGTTTGAAGAGCCGCAGGACCCTGGACCCTACTTGCTCCACGTGCTTCCCTCCATGATGAGCAACTGTGTTCAGTTCAACCAGCATCCAAGCACTTCCAATGGCTTTGCGAGTGACCATTTTGGCTTGCTGGCCACTGTCAAACAGATTGGCAGCAACCGCTAGCCCATGACTTGATGCGTGGTGAGTGTGTTGCATAAAGACGCAAGAAGCTGGAGCTTGTAGAAGGCTATTAGGTTGCTTAGTTTAGTTCCTCCTCCACACAAAAGAATGAATCATGTAAATGCTTATATGTATATTAGATGATGTTTGTTTTGAATGAACTTTGTACCGTACAACTAATGAAATATTATAACTAACATTGTATGGCAAATGAAGTGATAGTGATTATACAAATATGTAAATAGATTATCTATAGTTACAACACGGTTTGCAAATATGTTGGTTTGACGATACATATATGTATATATATATATATGTATATACATATATGATAAATGTAATTTTATTGTAATTGACTTAGCATTAGTTGAATCATGTATCAAAAATGTTTTTTGTTTTATCATATATATAATACGCTTAAAACACTTATTATTCAATCATAATACATGCGTAACCTATGCCATTTTTAAGGGGGGGGGGGTATTCTGAGAAACCACAAAGTGTTCTAGTAAAAAATCGTGTTCGATAGGAGAGACACGGAAGCCTGACCTAGCAGCATCCCACTTCACGTGGCGGAGACAAGAAGACGCCCACGTTTGCCAGGATTCGCGTCAGAACCTTGAGCTGTGACAGACGCTGTGCTGTCCTTTTGGCTCACTAAAGTTGAAGATACATTGGCGTCGCTGTGGCTTGCATGTGTCCCAGGTGTTTGCTTACTTACGTAGTTGTTTGTTTGTTTGTTTGTTTGTTTGTTTGTTCGTTTGTTCGTTCGTTCGTTTGTTTGTTGGTTTGTTTGTTTGTTGTCTTGTCTTGTTTTGTTTCGTTTCGTTTTGTTTTGGTTTGGTTTCTTTGGCAGTCCTTGTTCTAGAGTAGGAAAGCCTTCTCCCGGCACTCGTTTTTCCGCGCCTAGGAGCAAGGCCTGCAGGCGGTGGAGCACTCGATCGGGTCCATGGGCGCAGCTCGGGCCGAGGTGTTGTTTTTTTGCCTCCGTCGGTCGGTGCGCCATGTTGGCCTCAGTTGTTCAGTGGCTCCAATTTTTCTTTTTCCCTTCTTTTTCCCTGTTTTTTTTTGGGTGGCCCCACTAAAATGGTCCAAGCCCCAAAAAGGGTTCCAATTCTTTTTTTCCAGGGTCACTGAACAACTGAGTGGCAGGGCGTTCTTCTGGATTGGCAGGCCATGGCAGGTCATTTTGGGAGGCCATGTTGGAGCCAGGTTGGAGGCATGTTGGCGCCGTGTTGGCAGGCCAAGTTGGCAGGCCATGTTGGCAGGCCATGTTGAAAAAGCCATGTTGAAGAAGCCATTTTGGCTGGCCCATGGGGGTATAAAGGCCCTAAAGCTTTACCGGAGAAGGTCAAGAGGTTCTGGGCGCCCACATACCTCTGAGGTATGTGGGTGTTTCGACTAGGGGGCGGTCCCAAAGTCTTCCCCCTTCTGGGTTTTCACCAAACCCATGATTTTGACTGTTTCTGGGGGTAATCAAAGTCAGACAATGGGGGTGTTTCCCTTTAACCTACAATTTCGGAGCTGACTTTGATCATGGTAAAGTAACATATGTATACGATATATATATATATATGCAAGCTATATGGGGGGGGGGTCTTTTTTGAGGCTACCCCTTTTGAAGTGGCTTCAACGGTAAACCAAAAGGCAAGCCGACCTCCGCTTTGGGGGATCCCGAATGGTTTTCCCGGGGGTTCTGGAGGCTTTCTAAGCCAGGGAAAGAAGGGACATGGAAGGTACCCCTACCTGGAGTCTCCATTGTACCTTTAATTTTGGGGTCATAGTATCAAAATGGCATTCTTTTGCGAAAAGGCGTTTTTCCCCCTTGTCACAGCAATGTGACCGTTTTTTTTGTGCTGACTGCGACGAGTAGATATGTTGTGCAAAAAGGGAATTTAACACACCGCAGCAACTCGGTGGGGCCTTTTTAAGGATGTTAGCCAAATAAGTTGCCTTAAGCAAACGTCTTCTTCCATGTATGGCGACGCCACAGCTTGTACCTATCAAGCAACATCTTGCTTAAGTGTATTCATCAGCCACATTTGCCCAAAGCGCACGCGCTTGCCTGTAAGCATCTGCTCAACGCTCAACAATATACGGACACTGTTGCGCAGGCTGGCGCCAAGAGGGGGACAACTAGGTCCTAGTAAGGAAGTGGGGAGAGATCGCTCCCGACAAAAACCTAAGCTTGTTGCTTGCAGGCGGCAAGTGTACTTTTTCGAGGCCTGGCGCCCACCAGTTTGTTTCTTCAACAGCCACTTGAAGAAAGCAAGCGCTTGTGAGAGTCCTTTAGGCCTTGGCTCTGAAATGCTTTCTGGGAGTCACGCTGTGGGGCTGGGTGATGGAGGAAATATAATTTCCCAAGGGTATAGCTACAAAAGGATTTTAACGAAGGCTATTTGCATACATTACCTTCGACGGAATCTTTTCACAACGTGCGTTTGTGTTGCGCCACCTCTAGGCAAGCAACAGCTTGAAACGGGCCTTGGACTGGCTACTCTCCCAAATCTTCTGGGGGCATCTGAAATGTTCTTTTCCGAGACTTTCCGGCTCGAGTGACGATTTGATAGTGAAACACGCTCAAAGGTTGCAACCGCCGAAAGGCAAATTGTTTGGAGCCTTCTGTCAGCTGTCTGTCCGCCGTTTGTCCGTCCGTCCGACCGCCGTCCGTCCGTCGTCTGTGCAACCGTCCACCCAGTCCAGCTGGACCCCATTTTTGCTTTGGCATACTTTGAGGGTCCCAAAAAAGCCGTCCAATAGGCGGAAAAACCCGTCCAAAAGGCGGAAAAAATCGTCCGTCCAGGACGCGTCCGTAGCTTGTACCCTTTTTTTGTTCTGTGGGCCTTTTTTGCCCCGAGAGGGAGCAAATTTGGGATTGCCTTCGACAAACTGCGCGCTCAGAGTTGAGTCGGGGCTGCAACTGATTTTGTGCAGCGCTTAGTTTCACGGCACACGTAAGGATACTTCTGGCGTTGACCCTTCGTGTTCAATGCTTGGGCCCGTGCCCATGTCCTGGTTGACAGTAAAACACTTGCGTGCCGGAGTGCGCCTACGTGCGTATATAATTTACTGTGTTCGTTTGTCGTTGTGTCCGCATCGTTGGAATGACCGCTCTGTTCACTGCAGCGGCTCTGAATTTGTCACTATAGCAACGACGTGCACCTAGGCGCGCTGGAGTTGAACGAGTTTGACCACAGTGTGGGAGCGACCGCGCTGCTTGTAATTTCGCTGTGACACCCAAGCTCATGTCAACGTACACGCTCGTGCTGGCACGCCTGCTGTCGCATTTGTTGCGTGAAAGCAAAATAGCTCGCCTACTGGCAAAAACTCCTTTGTTGCGCTTGACAAAGTGTGCCCGAAGCTCTGCATTGCTCGCTACAGTTTGAAGCGGTTGCAGCTTTGCCCCTTTGACCTAGCAAAATTCCCCAGCATGATTCAAGCTTGGTGTAAGTCCATCTTTCGCAGTTACTAAGTGAGCAGACGAGCATTACATGTCATAACCCCAGAACACATGCATAAGTTCCGTGTCCAAAGCCAGACTCTGGCAGTTTTCTTTTTGGTTGCACTCATTTAAAGATCGCACTCATGGCGCTATCCATTTGCCCTAAATACGCCACACACCATGCACATCAATGCGGCATTTGGTCCAGTTATACTGGTAAGCAGGAAGGAGACGCACGTGACCCCTTTTTGTGTCACAGTGCCTTTTTTTGCACCCGTGACCCCAAAAACATGGGGTCACGGCAAAAGGGCGAAAAACGAAGGGTCACGGAGACTCCAGGTAGACATATACGGGAAGAGATCCGTTCCGGAGCGGGGACATCCGGAAATTTGCCAAGGGAGCCTGGAGGGAGCTGGGAGGTCTGGTTCGGGACATAGATATATACACATACATATAAACTCTGGATGGTTCCGAAAATCCCTTCGCAACACGAAATGAAACCATGGGAATGAAACCACAGAGTTTCTGCCGGCATGTACCTCGGGGAATCCAATCAGAAACCGTTGGGTTTCTTCGACCCGAACGCGAAATCCATTCCGGGGGCTGAGGTCTCCTTCAGCGGCACCAACTTCCAGCAGTTGGCCTCGGTGCCAGACCGCTGCGACACCCCGCAGATTTTGGAGGCGGGCTGCTCGCTTCACCTCGCTTCGGGTTCTCACGCCCTGCCGACGCCTGCCGAGCTCACCGGAACCCCAAGCCAAAAGGAGCGAGCTCGCGAGAAAGGTGCTTGCATCCGATTCTTGTTTCAGGTTTTGGGAAATCTACCAGTCTTAGATTCATGGATATGATGGTTTCCACCTAATCGAAGACCTACCCTGTAAACAGGGGTATATACCCTTATGCCATTGAAGCCCTGAAGTTAGCTTCAGCTTGGGGTAATGGAAGGCTTTAGTCACCTTTTGGTGGTCGGGCCAAACAGTTTGGCTACTTGTTTTGGCCATCGATCGGACGCGGGGGTTGTCGTTTGTCTCATTCTGGCGGACCCACGTGGAGGTTTTCCTAGGGTACCCTCCAAAGAGTCACCCGTACCTTGGGGTGGTTAGGGGTGGAGACTGCGGATTTTAGTTTCTTTCTCAGCTCCGTCTCCAAAATAATTGCCGCGTCTATGTGTGAGTCTTGGTACTTTTTGGGTGGTTTAACAGGGCAAACAGAGGGACCACCTGAAAAGAGGTTGGTGGACATAAATCCCCCAAATGATGTCCACCAAAGAGTCCCCAATTCAAGTTCATACCCAAATCTCCTACAGGGCCTTGGTGGGTTCACGAGAATCAGCATTCGAGCAAGAGATTTCCATTCCGGGCACGTGGACTGTTGGTAGTCTATTCAGTTGTTTTTTACAGCCCTCGTCACATGGGTCACTGATTACCAGATGTACAGCTGCAAAAGGAAATCAGGTCGTTGGATGCCTTCAAAAAAGTTTGGGTTCAAAGTGAATAGGCCCGCCGCAGGCAGGCCGTTGGGGGGAAAATAAGTTTTCCCAGCAAACCCAGTTGCAAACTTCACTGTTGGCATGTTGTTGTTCCAAACCACATTTGGTTTTGTTGTTGTTGTTGTTGTTGCTGTTTGCAAGAGGCAGTCTGCTTTTTGCTGCCAGACCAAAGGTTGGAAGGTAAATGGAATCAATTGGGGTTCATGTAGCCCGTTTTGTCTACCGGAGTTTCATCTTTGGATCCTTGAAATATGTTTGCTTGGCTGGTCTCAAGGGTGCGACCAAATCGCCCCCATTTTGCACCAGTTGGAAAACAGCTGGTTGTTTTTGCATTAAACAACCATACCCAGTTGCCCGGTGCCAATCCTTTTTCCTGTTTTTTGGGAAGGGTTCCCATTTAAAGTCAACCAACCAAGGAAGGATGCCCCTTTTTTCCCATGGTTACTGGGCATCTGAGAACAAAAGGCTGATCACCCCTTTGCGCAGGGGGCAGAAGAGCACTCCTGCTTAATGGACTCACTCCCTGTGTCTCACTTTGTGGGAAGACCATTTTATCAGTATCGATCTTATGACGTTTTAGGTTCCCCTTTTTGTGGGTTTTTGATCATGGCCACAAAAGGTTCATCTTTTATGTCCAGGTCCTTTGGGCAAGTGAGTTTTTGTGGCCAAAAAAAAGGTGCGGTTACCCTTTTTTGGCTGGTCCACTCGAGAGAGTGAAGGTTGCACCCTGTACGTTTGGGTGTGTTCCTTCTTAGGAATCGCTCCCCAAAAATGGATTTTGGTTCTCCTGTTGGTTTCCCTTTAAACCAACCCAAAAGGGGTACACCCATATTTGAAAATGTTTTCTGGAAAATCTCTATATGGTCACCGCTGCCATGAACTACATTTGGACCATTTAGTTCATCACACATACCATTTGGCTGGCGCCATGACGGGCCTCCGATTTCTTCTTTCGGAGGCCTTGACGTCGCGGTCCGCCAGCTCAGACAGCTGCGTGGAGCGACTCGACCTTCGGCTATCCGAGCTCAAGGAGCATATGCACCTTGGGACGTTGGCGGACGGAGTGTATCTTTTGAACAAGCTCCATGTGCTTACGCACATTTCTGTTCATACTCCACTGGGTTGCATACGTATACATATATATATATATATAGACATGTACACATGTATATGTATACAAATATGGTTGCATCTTTGTTTAGAGAGCCCCTTTTGGGGTTGGTGAGGGGAAACGAAAAGAACAAGGCAAGTCCATGGGTCCCCTAATTTTGAGACACCCATTTAGACCGGGCCTCCATTTGCATTTAAAGGAACATGCCTGGTTTTCCCTGGTGCACTTTAAAAGGAATCTATATTTGCTGGGTCTTTTGCTCCAAAACAACTTATGCAAAATGGAGGTTCAAGGGGAAAGGGCCAGGGTGGGGATTCATGTACATGTGAGTAGGTGACCAGGGAAAAGCCACCATGGTCTTGGTGTTTCCCAGACATCCCTCTAGGTTTTTTTAGGTCTTTCAGATTTTAGGGTTTAGCGGGTGTGTCCATTTAACCCACAAGCTAAACCTTTCGGGGATCTGAGCCCAGGGGCTGACGTCCACGGGAGTTTCTTGTCAGCAGCTCCCACTTGAAATGGCCTACACTTGCATTGTTGCATTCCCAGTGGATCCTGTTGCCCTCGGCAAACCCATATACAAACCTAGAGTCAGAGGGAGAAAGTATTACACCCGGGGATGTCACCTCGTTCCCCGACGAGCTTTTTTTATTCTTCTTGTTTTTTACCTCTGGTAGAGGTAAACTGGATGCGCAAGCTAGTCATCCCTCCAGCGCTGGTCACTCGTTCGGCCAGCCGCGGTACGGAAGGCCGAGACATTCGGGGCAAAGACCCTCCTGTCCGTGTTGCCACGGAACCGACCCTCAGTTGTTCAGTGGCACCAATTATTTTCCCTCTTTTTTTTGGTGGCTGCCCCACTGAAATGGTCCAAGCCCCAAAACGGGTTCCCTTTTTTCCAGGGTCGCACAACTGAGTACCAGGTCCCTTTCGAAAGGGCAATCGTCCACGAGAGTCGAATCCGGTGCCATGTTACAATGAGAGTGGACGGACGTTTAGGGCGCCAAGGATATGTTTCGCCAACAGTCGGCTGGTTTCTTCACTGCGCTTTTTCCACCCCCAAGCCTATGAAATGGATGTCACCCTGGTTTTTGCAAAAGGCTTGGTGGCTTGGCGATTGGCTGGGCGATTCGCTGCGTTGCCTGCGGTTCGTTCCGGGTAGTTGGCAATTTCCACTGTTTTCGGGCAGGCGGATTGTTGAATTGTTTGCCTTGCCTGGCAAGCCCTCGGTATGTGTTTCCCCAACCGCTTGCAAGGCTTCCTCTTCATCACTTTAGCTTGCAACACCCAAGAGCTTACCATTGAACGCCTGGTTTCTCACAAAATATACCTATAGGTTGTTAGCAGGACTCTGGTTGATCCGCCACGCGTTGTTTCCGGTAAAAGTCCCTTGCGGCTTGCTATCTTGGGACATGTGCCAAGTGTTTTTGTGTTCCATGGCACCTGATTCGACTTTCCGGGTGGCTTGGATTCTCCTTTCGAAAGGGACATGGTGGGTTCCCCGGCTCGATCTATGGGTGTGGCTCAAGATTAAGGAGGGGCAAACCGCAGGTGTTGGGTAACCCATGTTTCCACGTACCGATCGGGCAAGCCATGTCGGTAATTTCCGTTTTTTGGTTGCCACAGCCAAGTGGTGTTGCTTCACACCCAAGTTTTAGTCCTTGTTTCCATTTGCCAAGATGCCGTTGTGGTACATGTTTTTGAGCCACAGCCACATGTTTTGGGAGATCCGGGCGTCGGCGTCGATCCGGGCGCCTCAAGATGGGATCAAGAGATGGTTCGCCCGTGAGATCGAGGCACGAGCTGAGCGAGGCGTCGCAGACGGAGGAGCTGCGGGAGCTCTTCTGGCGCCGAAGCCGAAAACCGAATCCGGGGGAACCACTCCGGTTGTGGCGGGGGGGGGGGGGGGCTGTTCAGGGGAAGGGGTTCCGGTGGTTCTTGTTTCCTGTTTTAGGGGGGGAGGGGGGTGGGGGGTGGGAACTATGCTTTTTGGGGTGTGTGTTGCCTGTTGTGGCCGGGGGGGTGGGGGGTGGGGGGGCTGGGATGGGGCTGGCCTATCTGGTTGTTTTTTCTGCAGCCATTCCGGTGGCTCATGACCCCGAGAGCCTTGAAGGAACCAAAGCCGATCCGTCCGCAATCCTTGCCTACACCGAGCGCAAGTGTTTCTGGGTTTTTTGGGCTTGGTGGGCCGGCCCTCACATGTGGTTTTTGCTTCTGGGAGGAGTCATGACTTTTATGACTGTTTGGGAGGGGGTGGGGGGGTGGGGGGTGGAGGGTATCAAAATCAGAAAATTGGAGGAGAAATTTGGTGTGTTCCTCTTTAACCTACCAAGGGGTGACTTTGACAATGCTCAAACCATGCGGCCAGTGTTTTGGCTCAGGGTAGACGAAATACAACGCATTTGAACATATGATTTTTCTGTGTACCACTTTTTTTGGGGCCAAGCTCTGTGAAGAGGAGTGCGTTTAATTCCACCACAGGTGCCTCGTCTCACGGAAATCTGGGGACACCCAACCCAGGTTTCCCTCAGGCCCCAAGGACATTGTCCAATGGATTCGTGTTGGAAGGACCATTTGTGTGTGTGTGTCTTTGGTTTTAATGAGACCTTTCCCCCCTTTTGGTATCAAAAGGAAGCCAACAGGAAAACCAGAGCGGTTTTTTTTGTGGGTCCGATTACTAAGCGTCTGTGAGATGCATGGCCCTTTGGGTATCGGTTTACAGGAACACCAAGAGCAGAATGGAAATCCATTCTGGGGGTCCCCTAAAGAAAGGAAATACCCACCTAAATGAATGGTAGGCATGGCTGCGAATCCCAAGCAGCTTGTGCTTTATCCATTTATGAAAACTATCGTCGCATGTGTGTGCCAAACTTGTCCCAAAATGTCAAAAGCACAACCTGATTTAGGATTCAACGGCTCTTTTGGACAATGCCTCCCCCAAGAGAACGGCGACGTGGAATAACAACAAAAGACGACTGGTCTTTGGATCCAACTCGCCCCTTTGTGTCGGACCATTAAAACTACAAAGGGTGGATCACGACCTAGTGCTCTGGGAAGAGCAATCCAGTCGAGGGGGAGGGAGGTGTCCTTTCCGGTTTCAGTTTGGTTGATATAGGGATCCCTCTATTTTTAGTTTGGTTCTAATCACGCACCAGTGCCGTTGATCTTCGCAACGGACAAAAACGCGCTGGGGATACAACGAGTTCATGAAGTTACCTTGGGGAGTCTTCGTTTCCTGTGGTAAGTTGCCCAGATGTTTGACCTCTTCTGGATTGCTATTGGGTTGGATTTTTAGACTTGAACTTTTTGGGAATTCAAGGGTTTTCCATTGGATCCACAAAAAGTTAAGCTGTTTGCAGAGGGGTCAACAGCAACCAATTTACTGCCAATCTATAACCCTAGCTTTTGCCAATTTATAGCAATTGGGGTTTACAGCAACCTGGCAATTGTCGCTCCAACTGCCAATAGGGGTTTACAGCAAAAAAAGTTTTAGGAGATGGGCCCGGCAAAAAGCCCACGCCGGCGATGTGTCGCAGATCGCCTCAGGCAGCTGGAGCTGTCGCTCCGGAATCTCAACGGTGGGAAGAGCCTCGGACGATCCCATGAAACCGAGCGCCGAAGAAACCGAGCTCTATGGACCGTGCTCTCAGTGGTTCAGTGGCTCCAATTCTTTTTCTTTTTCCAGCTTTTTTTTTGGGGTGGCTGCCCCACTAAAATGGCCCAAGCCCCAAAAAAGGGTTCCAATCCTTTTTTTCCAGGGTCGCTGAACAACTGAGTGTTAAGTGGTTCTGCTATGGTTCTACTACCTATGATAAGAACCATAGCTATAGGTTCTGCTATGGGTCTACTATCCGCTTTGGTTCTGCGATAGGTTCTGCTATAGGCTTTTGTGGCAGTTATAGCAAGGCCTACGGAAACCCTTATCAGCAGCTTGGTAGAACCAAAAGCGATTTTTTCGCGTGCTGCTCGTGTGCGAGAAGAGAATGGAATAGCGGACCCAAACAACGCGGGTTATCCCTTTGGTTTCCCTTACGTAAGCTTTGACACCACTCGTTTATATGTTAAGAGTACCCGTAAGCGTACCCGCAGAAGAAAACAACAACACCCAAAAGGCAGTGAGTTCATTTCTACGTGGTTTGTGGACATGAATCGAACCACCAACATGATGTCCAAAGGGCATTCAATGGAAACGCCCATGCCCATATTGGTTTGCCACCAACTTACAGTAAACGGTTTGCTCTTGGCTTCCCTTTGAAAGCGAACCAAAGCGGTGGTTGCCCCAAAGTCACACCATACTGTGGATGGAAGATATCCACTTCGCACCAGTTGGGACGGATGAGACGCTATGAAAACTGGTTGATGAACTACCGAAGAACTGGTGCAGGATTTTGGCCATCCATAGTATGAACTCCTAGTATGGATCCCTAGATGATGGTGAATATTTCATCTTCAAAGAGGGTGGCCAGGTGTTTTTCATGTAAGGATCCCTGGAAAAGCAAGGAAACCCCGATGCCAGCTTCGTGAGCCCGATTCCCGAAAAAACGGCTGATGATTCTCGAATCACCAGCAGGATGTTGCTGATGGAAATTCCCGAGCATTGACCATGTTACCCTTTTAAGCCACGGCTTACTTTTTCACACATGTGCGAAGGCCTTTTATGCCGAACTCAATCATTTAGCAGGGCAACTCGCCTCTGAGAGTATGGGGTTGTCTTTTTTGGTGGTACCCTTTTTGGTGTTTCTTAAGTTCAAACCAACAGGAAGATCAAAGCCATGTTAGGGGTTGCCTAAAAAACGACGAGCCCAGGCAAATCGGAACTTCGAAATAGGAAGGCAACAGCGATCCCAAGAATGGATTGCCCCAAGGGGGCTGGTTCGCAGCCATCCGGTTTCTTCGCTGTTGAGTTGTTTTTCTCAGTTGTTCAGTGGCACCAATTCTTTTTCCAACTTTTTTTGGGTGGCTGCCCCACTAAGATGATCTTCCCAAAAAGGTTCCCTTTTTTTCCAGGGTCACTGAACAACAGAGCCACTAGAAGTAGGACTTTCAGGGGATTCATTGAAGGCGAACGCGCGGCTTGCAGGGTTCTCTGATGTCCCCTTCAAAGGCTCTCAAACATCACCTGGGCCGTTTTTGCTGTTTAGTGTTCCTTTGGGTGATGTTCAAAGGAGGACATACTGTGGATGGACGAAATCCTGCACCACCTAAGAAATCCTGGAATGATGACCCCTGAAAATACCAAGAAGCAATGGTTTCCCATGGTTTCAACGTGGCCGGATTTCGTCCACCCACGCCCATAGTTGTTCCCTCGCTCGAGACGCGAGGAGCGTGATCCCCATGAAGTGCTTCATCCGCGGCAAGAATGCAGTGGTCAACAACATCCAGGCCGGACGGCTGGGCATGTCTCTAGGTTCTTGGGGTCTCCAAAACGCTTGAGCAGACTAAATAAGAACCACCAGTGATTCCATGTCCCTCAAGGTAACCAATGGAACCAACCTTTAAAAAACCAAAAGGAAGGTTACATACTTTATAGGTAACTGCGATGGGACAATCTGAGAACATGATCGATGTACCTAATTATGGGCCAGGCTTGATTCCTTGTCTATTCTGCCAGAGTTCCTGTGTGTCCTTTTCTGCTGGGTTTCAACATCACTTTAGGTGAGCTTCCCTACTGTATGTCAGGGCTTTTTCGAGCTGTCCCCCCTCCCCCAAGACAGGTGGATGAGCTTTGGGCTCCAAATTGGTCTTGCAAGTTCAGGTGACGCCACGGGTTTCGAGGGTGACTTGATAGCCTTCCATTTGCTGAAATGATTATATGTTATTTTCCCTTGTTGGTTTCAAAGGGAATCTATGACTACTGGAAATATTTTCCCGGGGGCTTAAGCAAATGGAAGTAACCTCAGGCATGTAGGTTAACAGGTTGTTTGCTTATCAAGCTGCTTGAATTTCTCGGGCTTTATTCCATTGATGTCCTTTTTGGTTCTGCGGTAGAACAGGTACAGATGGCGATTCCTAATTGGCCTGGTTGTTTTTCCGCAGATCCTGTTCAACCATTGTTTTTTCCCGAAAACCTGCTGTTTGACTTGGGTATCTGGTGGCCCACTTCAAAGAAGTCAACCTTGCGCATGAACGTTGTGTTATAGGCTCGGTTCCCAGCGCATCGCCTGGTTCCTGAGGCTTAGTTGTTTTTAGTTTGTTTAGTGGGGTTCCATTTAATTAGCCCACAAGCTAAGCTTTCGGCAGGGGATCTCAGAGCCAGACATGCCTGGCTTGAATGGCTCGGGCCGAGCCAAGGAGCCAAGGAGCAACAATTACACCAGCATAGACCCCAGATAGCGTAAAACAGGTCAAGGATTTGCACCCTTGACCTAGGACCAGGTGTAACCTAGCTGTCAATCTTCCAACAACAGCACCTCCTCTAGCGCCCCAGCACCGCACCTGCACCTGCACCCAGCCGGTGAATCTCGCAAAAATGCGCCCATAACGCACCAACACCAGTGCCTCCAACAGCGCCTGCGCCAGCGCCCCAAAACAAAAACCTGCACCAGCACCCCAAACAGCATGCCCCCCAGCACCCAGGAAAGGCATTCGGGCGTGTTTTTGTTTGAGGGCAACTCTTTTGGAGTGGTTTGAAAAGGAACCCCAAAGGAAACTAGCCATTGCGCGGTGTCCCCTATTCGAAGACACGCCCATTTAGTTACAACTCGGCACTTTTTGTGGCGAGCGCGCAGATGGGGAAAACGAGCTTACCCATGGTCAAGAGCCCCCTACGCATTCATTAGTTACGCCGCTGAGTTTGGGCTGGTGAATTGTATTAGTTTGTGAAGAGTAGGGGTCAGTCGAGCATCTCAGACCCACTGTTCTTGGGCGGGACAAGTTCCTTTGGTTTCCGATGTCATACGCATGGGCTGTATAGGCTGGCATGCACGCAGTTGCCTATATCCGCAGGGTAGGCTCGAGACATGTCACACATGAAAAGGCGTGAGCTGGCGCTGATGGAGAGCTAAGGGACCAGGGGCCAGGCTCCCCATGCCGACATTGGCGCAGCAGGTACATCACCGCCAGCGCGCCCTCTGCAGCAGGTCATGGACTTCGGCTTTGACGACGGCCTCTATGACTGGGGCGAGGCGCAAGCCGAGGACCAGGCTGGCGCGGAGGAAGCGTCGCTTCACGGCGACAAGGATGATGAGGACACGCAGGTCTTCGACTTCGACGAAGACGATGAGGACGCATATCCGCCAGATGGGGATGGCCATCAAGATGGCGGAGGACCACCAGATGACGGAGAACCAACCAGATCAAGACGGCGCTCCCGCAGCACCAGGCGGAGAAGAACCTCCAGCTGGATCTACTTCGGGCAGGAGCTCTTTGACAAGCTCAGCCAGGCGCCGCCGAGGCAACAGAGGAAGCCGAACCACACTCCTTCTGGAATCTGATCCGTATACTGCCTCAGGAAGTACCGCAGGATCTTGAGCCGGCGGGTGACCATCAAGGAGTACTTGCCGGCCAACAAGCAGGCGTTGAGAGGCCTGGACTCTTTGACAGGCGCCGCGGCCCTGGAGCTGGAGGAGGTCAGTGACGAGAAGTTCAACGTGGGGTGAGCTTCGGCGAGAAGGAGGTGTTCCGCAAGGGTGGCATCATCCGGGAGTACGAGAGCTTGACCCGCCTGCAGGGTGAGAGCGTGAACGCCTATGTCAGGCGCTTCAGGTTTGCCCAGGAGTCGTCGTTGTCCAGAGAGGAGCTCGCCGAAGTTGCGGTCCTCCACATCCAGGGGCTTATCTGGCGCTTGTCTCGGTGAGTCACTGTCTCGGAGTCCCAGTGTTGGCGTTCGCCGGGCCTCGAAGTTCTTGAACCAGCTCATGGTCGGGTCGTCCCCGGCCAAGGTGCCTTGGGCCGTCTCGCCGAGCACCTTCATGCACTCCTCTGCGAGCCCCGTTTGTTCAGCAGCTTCTCCACATACTCCGGCCATGGCTCGATCCCCTTCAACATCGTGTAGCGCTCCTCCTGCCTCGGGTCGGCGCCGCTGATTTCGGAGTCGGAACCATCGCCTTCGGCAAACTCGTGAAGGCGCTGCCGGAAAGGAACTTTCCCCGGCGCAGGAGGAGCTGGACCACGCCTGGTTAGTCGGCAAGTACGCGGACGCGGAGGTGGTTTGTTGGGAAGGCGGAGATCTACCAGAGCGGACTACCCCACTTGAAGCCTGGCCTGTCGTGCGGGAAGGTCAAATACCTGGACATGGCCGGCTACTTAGTACATGGAGGTGCGCCAGGTCGAGACTTCGCTCCATCAGATCCTCTTCTACCACGTACCAGCCGAGACGGATCCACCACGAAAGATGCAGGTGCTCGTTCTCTACCCACATCAACAAGCACGGCAAGCACCCTATGCATCAGGTACTTCTCCTACGGCACGGTCGCGGAGAAGCCTTTACGTCCGGTTGGGACGGAGTGTCAAGCGAATGGCAACCCATGTTCGGCGGGAAGAAGAACTATTCGATGTTCTGCCTCTACAACCTCCTGGGCATGGGCAACTCAGGCGGCAATCGGCGAGGAAGCGGTCGAGACGTCTGATGAGGATGACTCTGAACTGAGGAGGACGCAGAGGCAGGCGCTGAAGAGGGAACTGCCTTGGAAGAGCATTCCTTCAGCAGATTGGCCAGCCTTCCCAGGGGTCCCCAACTTCCTCTTCTGGCACGAGGCGCACCTGTACTTTCGCGACTTCAGCTTACCTGCCTTTTGCAGGGTGCGCCTCATGCCGGGTGCAGTTGATCAACGGCGACTGCAAGTCGGCTTTCTTGCAAGGAGAGCCAGACACAGGTCGGTCGACAGCAATCTTCATGCAGCCTGCAAAGTCCCCTTGGCGGTCAAGGCAGTGCCAAGCTGGGGAAGATCTTTGCTCTACAAGCTGAGCGCTCTGGTTTGTGGGTAAGCCAACGCGCCTTCTGCCATGTGCTGCGCGTGCTCCTCAGGCTGGGCTGGTGCAGTTGGTCCTTGCCTTTTCTTGTATAAGGATCCGGCTCGAGACAACAAGGTCACTACCATGCTGGGGATTCACGTGGATGACTTGATCGGAGGCGCCAAAGACGTAGCCAAGCAACAGATGGCTGCGGTGGAAGCAAGCTTCGAGTGGGGCAGCCCCTGAGAGTATGACGAGTTTGTCTTCGTGGGCAGGCGCATCAAGCGATGGCCACATGGCAGGATCACGCAGGACCAGAGTCACTACGTGGCGGACATGATCCTCACCAAGGCCAAGGCCCCTGAGGGAACCGTTGGCATCAGACCGAAAGCTGCTGTCGGAGTTCAGGTCTGCAGTGGGTAGCCGGGACAACACGCCCTGACTTGGCAGCCGACGTCAGCCTGCTTCAGAAAAGCCGAGATGAGCTGAAGATCGAAGATCTTCATGAAGTCAACCGCTCCTTGCGGTATGCCAAGGCCACGGCGGATACCAGCATCAGCATCGAGCCGGCGCCCGCGGACAAGCGATCTTGGTGGCCTACGGGGACCCCCATTTGCGACACGGGTTTCGCTTTTGGAATGGAAGAGTTTTAGGCACCAGCGGGTGCTACGCTCAACCTTGGCGGCGGAAGCGGCTTCATTGGATCGGGCGGAGGACAGTGCGAACTTTCTGGGATGTCTCCTTGGAGAATGCTTCATTCCGAAATATGTGGCCGCACAGAGTGGAAGGTCACCTTTTCCTGTGACACCAGTAACGGATGCCAGATCTCTGATCGACGCGATCCACAGGCTCTCAACGAGCTTTGCAGAGAAGCCGGCTTGAGGCAGACTTGCAGGGCATTGAAGTCGGTGCCCACGGAGGTGATGCTTGCAGACGTCTTCACCAGGCGGAGCGGCAAGTTGAGGGACAACTTCAGGAAGTGGATGCACAAGCCCGGGGCGAGCTTGATCGAGTGCAAGGACGCCGAAGAGAACACAGATAGCTCCAAACGTGCAGCCAGAAGAGAATTTCACCTGTGTCACACGCATGGGCTGTATAGGTGGCACGCAGGCAGTTGCGTATATCCGCCGACAGGGTGGGCTCGAGATATGTCACACATGAAAAGGCGTGAGCTGGCGCTGATGGAGATCTAAGGGACCAGGGGTTAGGTTTTTCATACTGACATCCGAGCCATTTCCCTTTTTGGAACCTCTATCAGTGGCGGTCGTTTCCAGGGAAACCAGTAATTAGATTGCAGCCTTTGAAGAGGCAATCCAGTGATCCCTGAACTGATGTCCGCCGAACCCGTGAGGCTGAGAAGAACAACAAAGACAAGGATGAGTTGATTGAAGAGGAAGACTAGCTACTAGTGAATCCATTTGCTTCAGTTTGACTTAGCTGAGTGGAAATTCTTAGAGATGAACGTAAGACGTTGCTGGCTTTGTAAATGCCAGCGTTTGCTCGTTACACGCTTGAGGTTTCACAGCTTTGCGTCTCATGAACTGAGACGCTTTGCCGCGGTCAGAAACCGACCGCGGCGTTAACGAAGGCCATCCCGAAGGATGCTTATTGACTCGGAAAAAGCCGCTCATTTGCGTGGGTGCTCTTTTGGAAACACCCACCTTTCGTGGATGGGCAAAATCGATTTTGCAGCAGTTGGCCTGCTTGACAGATCCAAATCCCTCCAATTCCCATCTCCCTACCCCCCGGCCTCCCTTTCTTCCTCCGAAGACCCCAAACATCCACAGTCCAAGAGGTCACGGTCCGTGCCGATTGACTTGAACGGAAGACTGTACCAGCTGCCAAAAAAAAAAATCCGCCGCTGGCCAGGGGTGCAGGGCCTCGGCGGCGGAGGGGTTTCGGATTCGCGATGGCCACCAGGGTTGAAACCCAAGAAACGGCGAGGCTTGGGGAGGGTTCCCCAAATAGACAGAGAAAAAGTTGGTAGCCTTCTTCTAACCTCTCAAAGCTGGAGGACCTAGTTTTCCTCTAGAGACCCTCAAGGTTTCCCCTTTGGTGAATGGGGACAAACCCAATCAAAAGCAACCAAACTAAGCTAAGGACACCTAGGTTCAAAGTTCTTTTTGAGACGACTTGGGGAATTGCGAGCTTAAGTGCGGCGCGTTGCGCCTCGCTTAAAACTGGAAGCTTTAACCAGATTGGAAGGTGGCCAAAGGGTCTTGAAGTTTTTCTCCACCGCGTTGGGTGTTCGATTTCCCCAGTTCGAAACTCCGAGTCGGTCACTTGTTGGTATCCGTTTCGTTTTTTTTTCTCCACCGGCCGCTCGCTGGGTGAGCGACGCTCACGCGCGAGCTTCGGGCTTCGGCTTCCTTCTCATGGCTCAAGCTTCGGTGGAGGCAATCGCCGAGTGACGTACAAGCAAGAGGAATCTTGGGGCCAACGAGAAAGAGAGCTCTCTTGGAAATTTTCAGATTCCCACCTTGCTCATTTCTTTGCCTGAAGGTCCTGGTTTTTAAGAACCTCCCTTTCCTCAACTCCAGGAGAACCTGCCTGTTTCTTTCTTTTTTCGGAAAAGTCAGCAGCCAGACCCATTGAGCGCGCCGATCGGCGTTCCCATTGCGGCCGTTCGGGGTAGGGGGGAGATGGGGCGCGGCGGAACCGAAGGATGAGGGTCCGCCACCTTCAGTCGCATCTTCATGCGCCTCAATGCGGAATGGGAAGACGTCTTCCATTGGCGTTGGAACAGGTGCAGAGAACCCTTCAAAATTGAGTCCCTCATATACTTCCAGCAGGAATGAATACATGTTTCTCAGTTTTCCCCTGTTGGGTTTGAAGGGAAGCGAGTGCACTACTGGGAATATGTTGTTTTTTTTCCAGGGGACTCAAGCAGCAACTGGAGCGTGTCGAATGAGAAGCTATAGGTTTTAGTCTTTGTTTCCATCTCCCCATCTCGCCATTGAGATTCCATGTTTGTCCAGCCTCGATATTTAGCTCACTAGGGTGTACTCTCCCATGGCAAAATGGCTTCAAAGTACCCCACAACCCGTTTCCCTACTGAGCACCAGCAAGTTTTAGGTTGCGTTGATTGAAAATCGATGGCCCTGGATTCGGTTTGGTTCTAAGCATCCACCAGTGCCATCACATGTTTCCAAGAGGACACCTATGCCCACTTGGCGAGTTGGCTTGAAATTTAGACTTGAACATCGCGGTGGGAATCTGCTGCTTTTCCCACAGCAGCAAGGGCTCAGCACGTGCAACAGGAATTTGCCATCCAGCGGAAATCAAGAGGGTTCCTTAAGACAAAAGACTCGAATCCAGCACCCAACAACTTGTTTTTGTCCCATATCCAAATCCCAACTACTGTCCAACAAGGGGTTGGGACCCGGGTGCTGCATCGGGTCCGTTTTTGTCCAGCCCAAGGCCTGGGGTCAAAAAAAAGTCTTGCTGACCTGTGAGGGGACCTCGAAAAAACTGAACACCCGGAGAAACGGAGTACCCTCCCTCCCACTAACAAATCGCACCTGGAAGATCATTTTCCTCTTGTAGGGACCCTCTGGCAGACCACCAGAAAACCGCATGTTTTAGTCTTTGGTTCCATTTACCAGGGTCCCAAGTTGGGTGCATTGGTTTGGTGCCCGCGAGAACCACAATCCAAACCAACCAAGGGGAATTTGAGATGTTGATCGTACTTCCGTGACCTGGGGTGATGACGATGCACTCGGGTGGGTGCTTGAGTGCTTGAGGGGGAGGGGGTGAACGAAGAGAGCTTTTTCGAAGCAAAAACATGGGTAGACGGAAGTTATGAGGCTTCAGGGTCTTCTGCAAAACCCCCCCTTCCACAAAAAAAGCCCTTTTTAGCAAGTGTACTGTGCATGAACCAAAAAGGTCCTGTTCACTCCGTTGTGAAACAAGTTTGCCTCCAAATATGATCCTACACAATCACGGAGGCCACATGAGCGTCTATCAAAACCTCTGGAAGACCAATATGTAAAGGGCTGGACATGACATACCCACATGTGCAGTAGATCGTGCCAAAAGCATGCGAAACGATAGGGTTACAGTACAAGTGTAGTAAAGGAAGTACACTTTGGCAGCTCCGGCTCGAAAGTCGCAACTTTTCAGTACAAGTGTAGTAAAGGAAATACATTCAGCTGCTCATTATCGCTTCGACTTTCAAGCCGGAGCTGCCAAAGTGTACTTTCTTTACTACACGTGTACTGAGAAGTTGCTATATATTATATATTCAGCTAGGTCTTAAACAAACTCTAAGAGCTTTTGGACAGACCGAAACAGCAGCATACCCCAAAACCCCAATTTTCGCGACACGCTATAATGGTCTGTTCACAAGGTCTTTAGAAGCCCTATCATCAGCGTGGCGCACTCATTTTCCGGGGCAATCCGACATCCCGCGAACATCGGAGCTTGGTGATATACTTTTGGTGGTTGTCCATTTACCCTCTGCAAGAACGGGGTTTGGCCGCTGGTGTTTCCATTTTCCCCTAACCCAAACAACCAACTAAGGAACACCTGAACAAAGGGGACCCATTAACTGCAGGATTAGAAATTCTCTTTGAAGAGCCAAGCCGTAGAAATCCAGGCTGAGTGATCAGTGAGTTCATGTTCTGAGTCAGCAAGCCTCACTTGCGCGGATTGGCCGAACCACTCATTTGTCCTTGCCTCGATGATCTTCCGTCTCCAAACATTATGTGGGGGTGCACGAGCTATGGAACACAATCTGAACATACAGACAAAATCCTGCACCACTTTGCATCCATGAAACAAACCATCGCTTGTTGGCATTTACAGGGGGAATCGATTCGTTCCAGGGTTTCTTGGGTGGTGCGAGCGGATTTCGTCCATCCACGGTACGACTTTCTGTGTACCCCTTGTTTGTGGGCCAAGAGAAACGAGTGTGTCCAACTTAGCTGAGAAACCTCACGGATCAACAAATGTCAAATATGACGTATCTTAAAGCAGGGGAACCCCAAAATGGCTTCGGTTTTTTTTACCTCACTTTTTGAACCAAAAAGGGGTTCCCCCCAAAAAGCGGACCCAAGTTGTCCACCAAAAGATTCAGAATTGGATCAAGAAGACCTACATGGTGATCGCACCGATCTGTTTTCTGGACTGTCCCTGACCTCATGGTTTGGATTGGCGGTTTAAGGGCCGGGGCCGTTTCCCATGTACCCTCCAAAGCCACTCCTGATTTGTTGAATTGAACTGCCCCCCCCCATCCCCCATCCCCCCACCCGCCTACTCCAATGCCCACCTTTTGCAGAAGCGTCAGAACCCACAGTGGGTGCGGGGGAGAGTTAAAAAAAAAAAAACTTACATGTTTGCTTATTGCGGTTTAGTGGTTGAAATCCAACCACTGAACTGCTAAGATTTCAATTTTTAGCGGTCGAAATCCAACCACTCAACTGCTCAACTTTCAATTTGTCGCTCCCCTTCCAACGTCGGGATGAAACCTGCGAATCGAAGTCTCAGGAAGAGAAGCTCATCTACCAGGGAAGCCTTGAGGCCGGACAGCCGACGTTGGCAGACGCTTCCGCCCGACAGCTAGCAGTCAATCAACCCCGAGGCGTCAGACGTGGGATTTTTTAGTGGTTCCGTTGGATCCCGAAAATATGAATGTGTCTTCATGGTTCCTGGCAGGTCGTTTCGTGGATTTTAGTATTTGTTGGTTCTGTTCATGCTTGGCTGAAAAAGAGAACGATCGCGAAGAAGCTATGACTGTGGATGGTTGCGAAATCCGTTCGCACCACCGTTCATAAGATTCGATTCCCCAGAGTAAATACCAACAAGCGATGGTTTCAACCATGGTTTCAACCATGGTTTCAAAGTCATCCAACGGAGTTCGTCCCTCCACATCTGTCGCCCCCCCCCCAAAAAAAAAAAGCATGTTTGTTTTGGAGGAGACGTTAAATCATCCACAGCCATGGCTGTTGTGTGTCCCATTGATTGGCTATGCCTTCCCAAGAACTCCCAAGACGACTTGCGCCTTGTCGGACACCGGCTGTGCTTTCGGATAGCGTGGGTTGCTGTAGGGAAACCTTGTTTTTGGTACTCCCCGAGTGCCTTTTTTTTGACTCGGACTTGGGTCGCTTGGGCTCGGAGCATCTTGGACTTCTTTTGGCCAATCCGATCTTCTCCCGCGAGTGTCGCGGGGAGTCCCCAAAGCCTCAAACAAATCAACTCCCCTGCCTCGGTTTGACCCTTCCAACCTGGCTGGACCTTTTCCCCCCGCCAGGGGCCCTGTGGATTTTGTTTGGCAACTTACCAACTTCTGCTTGCACCGCCGAAACAAAACAAGTTTGGGGGATATTTGGGTGTAGCTCAAAATGAAAGAGCTAGGGTTACTCTGGTCTGGTTCCATTTGTCAAGGTGCTATGTTCGTACATTTTTCGTCAGCCATTTTCCAGATGTTCATGGCAAATGCCTCCTTTGTTTGGGTCGACATCATGCCCTTTTTTCAAGGAGGTATTCGGAGTATCGGGGTTATGGAGGCTCCCCCAGCGCACACTGCCAAAGTCCACAGAAATATGCTTGCAGTTTGCTGAGCGAGCTACGTGCTTTGCGCTTCTGACCCAACACTGCAAGGTGGGACAACCAGCAGACCCTGGAGGCAAACTGCCAAATATGGTACATCTCTACACTTCATCGGCAGAACATCAAGTTGTCTTGGGAAGTTGACTTCCGCTTTTGCCAAAACCAAGAATCAAGGGGAACTCCTCCACCATTCGAATAGAAGAAAAAAAAAACACCTACCACCTGCAAGCGAACGGAGTTCGTCCGCAGCTGCCGCCCATTCGGTCTGTTCGAATCCGCTGGAAACTGCGAGATGCTTCGAGCCTTTGAAGCGCTTTCAAACCCCCCCCAAAGACTTACTGCTTTAAGGGTCCCCCTACTCCAAAATCGTGTTTTTGTGTTGTTGTGTTTTTGTTTTGTTGTGTGTTTGGTGTTTTTGTTGCTTTTGTTTTTGTTTGTGTTGATGTGTGTTTTGTTGTCTGTCTTTGTTTGTGTATTTTGTGTTTGTGGTTGTCCTCGAATGGTGTCAGCCCCCGGCTGCAAAGAAGGTACTCGATTAAGGGGAAGTCTTGGTTCTTCAGAATAAGCTCTTGAACAAGGGCCCTCTTCACCCAAGGCTAACTTGTTCACGGTATACAATGACGTCAACCCCCGGTTTGTTCAAGACCGTTCTCGGAGGGTTTCGGAGCCACCCCATTTGTTGGGACCCTCCGAAAGCGGAATTCAACGGGTTTCCACGGAAATCCGTTTCGCCGGCAGGTCCTTCGAGGGCAACGTCTCGGCATAGATGCAGTGCACTGGCTTCGGTCGATCCAGGCGAGGGATGTGCGACCCACGCTTGTTTTTTTCCGCCCGAAGGCCCTTGAGGGTACATCCCTTTGTGAGCTGCAATAGTTTACCTGTTCAGCTACCAGAGGGGGTAGCCTGAAATTCAATTTCCTCCAGTCAAACCGTGGCGTCTAGGGGTTGATTCCTTGTCCATTCTTTTCAACAACCGGATCCGTTTCCAGCGGCTTTTTGACGGTTTCCTGAAAAGAAGGATTCCTGGAAAGAATGGAAATGGAAGGTAGCCCTAGAAGTACCCTTCTGTCCGCAAATCTTGATCCCAGTTTCCAGTTGAATCAACCCCCAGCGGCACGAGCGAGGACAAGATGGAAAGGACACCATTCTCTTTCACTCACCCTTCATCCGTCCAGCGGCTGTAATTCGAGGGGTGCTTTTCACGAAAGCTAGCTTTAGCTAGCTGAGCCGAAAAGATTGAAAAACATCAATTATAGACCCCCCCCCCCTCCCCCCCCCCCCGGTCTCAGGCTCGATTCCTCCCTGGTCCATCCCCCCCCCCCCCGGGCAGTGGCTCAGTGTTCAGCAGTCTCTTGGTTTGCCCGTTTTGGACTTGGTGCTACGAACTTTTACATGTTCCACCGATTCAGCTTGTTCATTTGAGACCTCAGTCTTCTCGGTAAACCACCTCGCAAGAATCTTTGCACACGCAGCATGCAGAACCCAGAGGTGCTTTAAGACAGCTTCTGACGCCTCTCGTTGTTTTCATTTTTCAAGGTTTGCCACGCCACCATGTGCGTTTGCGTGTCGCATCCTACGAATCTTGCCGGGCCTCTCGTTGCACGCAAGCTACCTATGAATCCACTCTGTCACCGACCCATCTCATGCAACAACTGCTAGCTTTCGTTCACCCGCTCCTCAAGTCCCTGGGTTTGGTGGGGATTCATCACTTTTGGAGGGGAACACTCCCATATCAATGCACTGGGGTTGAGTAATAGGGGGTCAACATTCACATGGATCCGACCAGAGGTTCCCCTTTCAAAGGACAATCGGGTTCCGGGACCTCTCAGCGAGGTTCCATGTTAGTGGATGGGAGGGTACCTCTCTTTGTGACCCGCAATAGTTTGCCCGGTTGAATGGGCTGCTTTGTTCTGACAAAAAACAACACGTTCAACTCGTTGACGAGGAGTTTGGAACAGTCACCCAAACAGGTAAGGGTTGAACCATAGACCTGGCCACTTAGCCCTGCAACCCAGGAAACCCACGGCGTACAACCTACCAAGGGCAGGTGTTCCCTAAGGGCTTCTCCAAGAAGCTGATAAACCAATCTGGAAGGGGCAACTGTTTTTGCTTTGTATTTTTCGCGGAAGGCGTTTCCCCAAAAGCGGATGGTGTGCCACTCTAAACTGAGCCCCGATTCGAATCGGGTTCCAAGTTACGCCACGTAGTCAGGGGGGCGCGCCTTGCCCGGGTCCGCCGCTGCTTGACCATGTGATCCACAATCAAAACCTGGGTAGATGAAGGTTAGTAAGGCAAAGACCCAGCCGGAAATAGTTGCAGCCGTCTTTCTAACTCTTTACATGGTTCTGGGTTCACCATTTTTGTACCGATCGGTTTTGATTGTGACTCATGTGTGGTCATTTTTGAGTTCCGAAGATCACCTGGCCGGACCTCAGGGGCGGGACAACCATCAGGGTTTCCCGGCAAAGAAAATCATGACCATGACTCAATGACCCGGGTTCAGCAGCTCCGACCGCATCTGTGACGGGGAAAAAACGGCACCGTTCCGCAAAGACTTGTCGCCACCCCGAGATCCACTCTCAGACCCCTTGAACGGGCTCAAGCGGGGGTGGTTGATCGCTTGGAAAGGACAAGCATGTGAGCCGAAAGGAACCCATTTGTAGGAATGGGTGGCCCACCATTTCAGTGCCATGTTTAATTTCAGCATAGACACCTATTGTTCAAGCAATCTCCACTCGGTGTCGTTTAGGGGACCAGGAGTTGGTCGTGTAAGCCAATTGTGTATTCCACGGCCTCCAAACCTCGACCCACAAATGGTTTCTGGGTTCATTTTGGTGGGCTCGTTTCGGGCTTACGTTAAAGACCTGGGTTAACTCACATTCTGAAAAAAGGCACGGTGTTGGGTGATTACGGGGGTTAGTGGTACCCGTTTTGCGGTTGTTTCTAAGGGAACCACTGGAACACTACCCATTTGCTTTGCCCTATCTTGACTATTGGGTTGGAACTTTAGACTTTAACTTTTTGGGAAATACAGGCGTTTTCCATTAAACCCCAAAAAAGTTAAACTTTTTGCAGGGGGGCCGTTGCAGCAACCAAGCCATTTAGAGACCAATTTACCCGTGGGTGGTACCTGCAAGCACCGTGTCTTAAACTCGGGGTGCCTCGAAGATTGTGGTTGTCCCTTTCATTGTCCTTTAGAATAAGGCCAAAACGGGTACCCACCCGGAAGAAAGAAAAATCGCACTACTTACTAGTGGGTTTCTCAATTATTTCATTTGCATAAGAATACGTGTTATGTCCCTTCTTGGTTTTCAAGGGAATCTATCCCTAATGGACACATGTGCTATTTTTTCCAGGGGGCTCTGCTGCACATATGTGCACCCCAACCCTTCACGCCAATGATGGTAATGTTTGTATCCTTTCTCCATTCTTCTCTGACCTCTCAGAAAATGTAAGGGATCGCCCAAAAAGAATGGACTTCCTTCATTCCGCTGATTGTCGGGAGTTGGTGCGATAGATTGGGAATGAGTTGGAATGAACCGTTTGGGGATTCCCGAACAAATTGGAAACCATATGAGATTTATGGGAGGGTTTATCTTGGGGTCATTCCATTTCTCGTTCCCTACTGTGGATGAACAAAATCCTGCACCACGTTACAACCATGGGAAACCATTGTTTGTGGGTATTTATAGGTGAATCATCATTCCAGGGTCTCTGAAGTGGTGCAGGATTTCGTCCATCCACAGTATTTCTCGCGCCGATCGCCCCGTGAATTGCCAAAGCTCTGGAGGCTCTGAAGGATCCCTTCGCAGATGCCCTGGGCGGAGTCCCTCCAGGGATCTTTGGGGTCGTGGACAAGGAGCCGAGAAGCTTTGGGAATCGGGCGAGTCTTTTGAGGACGCTTTTTTTTGGGCTGACTTCCACTTGCTTCTTGGTTTTGGGGTTAACTTGTTCCCTTTAAAAGGGAACCTATCACTACTGGACATGTTTTTAGTTTTCCTGCAGCTTGGTTTAAAGCCCGCCATTTTGTTTTGGGGGGGGGAACCTATACGCGTGTGGGTCAAAAGGCACCCTTTTCGCCTAGAGCCCCTATTGGGATCGGGATCGGGGGGGCCTTGACAACCATAAGATATGAATATGTATATATTATAGATATGAATTGATATCATGTCATCTCCTGACTCCTTGCATCTGCTGAAGAATATGTTTGTTTTCCCCTGTTGGTTCATAAGGGAATCAATCACCACTGGACCACTGGGAAAAGGCCAGGGGGCTCTACTGCAAATGGAGGCGACTCAAAGGCCGAGGTATTGTTTAAGACCTTCTTCAGCACATGGCATCCGGGAAGAGCGCGGCAAGCTTCGTATTCTGCGACCGGGCAGGGAAGGGGATTTGGTCAATTGGCGTTCCAGGACCGAGTGTTGACCCCGTCCCCAGCCACCCCACCCCACCCATCCCACAAGTTAAGCTGGTATCAACATTTGTAATTATTCCCCGAACAGCTGGAAGCTTTGGGGTGTCAGCCCACAGAGGCTCTGGGGTCCGGGGCGGCCCAGGGTTCCACGAGGTTCTGCGAGGGCTGCGGAGTGGTGCCTTACCCTGGTTGGGGATATCACCTGGTGGAACCGTATGTAAGAGAACCCTGGTTGGGAACCGTGGAACCCTGGTTGGGGATATCACCAGGGGTTACCAGGGTTCCAAGAGATCACCGCATGCAGTTGGGGATATCACCTGAGATCATTCCGGCGTTTCTTGGAGGAAGCCAGGGGAAGTGGAAGGTTGGGGGGGGGCTCGTAATAATGTTGACCCTGAATCGACAAACCCGTCGTATGTTGTATCTATTAATCTGGGGTTAACATAATTCCAATAAAGGGCCTTTCCCACACATGTTCCCGTTGAAAATTCAAGGAACTCATTTGTAGGATCGGGCTTTTTGCCCCCCCACTTTTGGCCTGGAGGGTTAGGAGATGGGGTATATTTGTAGGGACAGCCCATTCAAAGTGTTTATCATGTTAGTAGAACCAAACTGTTTGTTGCATTTTGGTACTAACCGATGGTTTAAATCTACAGCTCCTCCGTGTCAGCCGATAGTTGAATCGGATCTCAAAAAGTCAACATGGGTTTTGGACGGTTCTTGGGGGATCAGTCCCCGTTTCGTTCCGGGCGCATTTTGCCCGTTTCCGGTTGGGATGATGATAAAGCTTTTGTGGTCCTTGGCTCGGCTGGGCCGCCGTCTCGCTCGCTTTGTTTCTTTGCAAGAAGCTCAGGAGCTGGAAGGCTTCCGAAGGCTGAGCATCACCCCGGTCTTCGTCTTTCAAGGCATGACCCCCGGGCCCAAGCACTCCATGTTTGTGAACCGCCCCTCGGAGCGGGATATGGAGGGAGGGAGGGCGGGTTGGAGCTGCAGTCTAAGGCTTAAGCTAGGGTCTATATATATATAGATATATATATATATATATAGATATACATATATAGATATATATATATATATATATATATATATATATATATATATATCTGAGTGTGGCTCAAAATTGACCAGGAGGGGCAAACCGCAGGTTTTAGTCAATGTTTCCACTTACGAGGGTTCCATTTGGGTACCTATTTATTTTTGACCTGCAGCAATATAGGGTTGGGTCTAAGGTCTAGTCTGTCGAGGCTTACCATCAGACCTTGAGCCTTACGGTGGAGGAAATTTTGGGCATGACATGAAACATCCACAGTATGTATTTTGGAAGCCAGGGGGAGGGGGTGGTTGGAGGGGGGCCCTAATGTGGTGTGCCCATTTATTTTTTGCAAGTGAGCCAACCCGCATCCTACAATCATTTCACTCAGGCGGGCATTTCTCGTCCCGCTTGGCAACAGTCAGGTGGCTGTGGGTCAAAACCAATGTTATCATTTTGGGGTAGGTGCACCACCCAGTTTAGTCTATTGTGATTAGCCATGGTTTATTTCATCACCAGGGATGTCGCGGTAGTGACTGACCTGTGGTGTTTGGCTCAAGGCTCAAGATTTTGGGTTCCGTCGCGCCTCGAATGGGCGTCGCCGAACCCCTGCGTCGACCGACGGCATCTCGGGGGAGAAAGAGACCTCGGGCCGCCGCCAGGTTGGTAGGGACCAGTCGTGCGGCCTGTTGTCGACCAAGGTTGCGGGTTAACCCTTTTCTTGTTTGGTTTGTTTTCCTTTGGTTGTTGTTCTCTGGTGTGTGGGAAACCCTGATCTTTGGGACCGGGGATTGGTTTGCTTTTGGGGAACCTTTCTTTTGTGGCTTGTTTACCCCAACTTACCCATTGCCTGGGCACAGGCTCGTGCCCGAATCACAGGTTATCAGCCGTAGGACTTTCCTACGCGCTTGAGACCATCAACTACAAGCTCAATGACGTCGACCCCACGTTCGCACAGGAGCGTCGTGGACGAGGAGGCCATCCTAGGTGGCCTCCGCTCAAGTGAGGACCTACCGGACTATGACTACGAGGAATTCGAGACAGGTTCAGCAGGTCAGGACCGCAGGGGTGATGATCCCGGTAGGGACACACCCAGAAGCCGTGGCAGGTACACTGACGATGGAGACGACCGCATTTTCCGTCAGGCCACCGATGATGAACAAGGACGAGGAGCTCGCTCCGGTAGGAGCGGCTCCGAATCAGGTTTCGGACAAGGTCATTTGGACTTCATCAGCATGGCGATGAACATGGCTCGTCCTCACACGGACGATCAGGAGGCTCTGCCTAATCGACCCCCTAGGTCTCTTTTTCCAGGTGAAACGCAAGCCTCGGATCAGGTTGAGGACAGACCGTTAGGTCCGGGAACCATGGTTTTGGCTCCGAGAGATATCTCGGGTCGATCAACAGGTTCTCAAAATCCAGGTCAGTTTGATGAGCAAGAGGAGAGGGCGTTTGCGGGCATCGGATACGATGCCCTGCTGGCGTCGACCGCAGGTTGGGGCAGTAGCGTGAAGCAAGAGTCTGATACTAATAGGCCCAACCCGGTTTCGACGACCAATTTTGAGTTCAATGATGATGAAGATTATGCCGCATTTGCGGATCGTCGTGAAGAGGAAGAAAGTTTGTCGTATCGGAATGCAAGGAGCCGTGCTGCTGCGAAGGCTAGGAGTCTCTCTCGTGGAGCTGCTAGGGACCTTCGTGTGGACACGGATACTCGGAGTGCAAGAGAGCGGATCGGGGACAGTCGGGGCACCCTTAGGGGTTTGGAGGCCATCCATGACGGAAGAGGACCGGTAGGTCCTCCCGTCATTGATCCCGTCCCAAATGTTTCCCCTTTTCCCAACATCCAGTTTGGAGGACCGCTGCGTCAGAGAGTCGGGGATATGAACCGGGGTACTGGTTCATCCAGGATTACTCAGCGAGCCGCCGATGTGGTTGAGGCAGGCGCGAGGGACGGAAGACTTGCTAGTGCGCTTGGAATCGAGGATCGTCCGCCGATCGCTAGCCCGTTAGGGCGAGATCTCAGCGACCTCGGGGACAGACCAGAAAGCTTAGGGATAGGACCGAGAGTGCCGTTAGGCAAAGGTTCAATATAGCTTGTGATGCTCGGACGTGCGGATGTACTCCTATCATTCTCTACCGACCTCAATGTAATATTGTGAGGGAAGGCGAGGTAGAAGGAATCGCTACTACGCATGGATTCGACTGCAGGTCTGTTTGCGCATGTCAGTGTGGTCTCAAGAGACATGGTGTCGTATTCAGGTGTTTCTCTTCTAAGTCATTCAATTCGATTTGGAGCACTTGCAAGATGCGAGGAGGGGATACCCTCTCTCAGCATGACCGGTCACTTGCCGTTAGGAAGTGGTTGAATAACTTCATTGCCGCGTAGCATTTCGCTTGATCAAGCTGGCTCACACGCGGGTAACCGCACCACACCCACAGGCAGTTCAGGACACAGACAGGTCAGAATGCGAGGATGAAGCAGATATGCTTGTCACCAAGGTTTATCTTCTGCTTCTTGAAGGACTGATTTGATTGATTTCTCAGTTGTTTGTCACAGTTTTGAGGGAGAAGGTCTCTGGCCGGTAGGCTGAGCCTTCTGGGTCGACTAGGGAATTCCGGCCGGAAGGCTGGGTTCCTGGATCGCTCGCGCCCGCGCGCTGCTGTCTTGGGTTCCGTGGCCGGTGGCCCGAACCTGCCGACGCATGGCGGCCGCTGATGGGATGGGCATGGGGCGCTGCGTGAGAACGCCCCCACGACCGTCCTGGGACTTGGCGATGGGGCTGAACATGGACAAGCCAAAGGCTGTGGCCCAGTGTCTGATTGCGGGATACCGCGATTGGACGGTAAAGAGTTATAAGGGACAGGAGCCGAAATGGACTACGATCGACCCAGGTATGGGAAAGATCGACCAGCTGATCCAGGATGACGCCAACGGAAGGTTCGACGAGTTGGTTGGTCGGGTGTCTCCCATCAGCAAGGAGAAGCTCGACAAGTCCCTCGTTCCGTGGCCGGATCAGGAGAAGGTGATTCACTACCGGGCGATCAGGACTGCCGCGATGGTGGCGGAAATGAAGCACCAGGGAGTGGAGGTCACGGAGATGAACGCCGTGCATTTGGCGGCCATCCTGTGCGCTGCGGTTCCGACGGATCCTGCTTTCTTGGTTCCCTATAATGACGCCTTCGCGTATGAGGAGTGTGTTGGGGTTACCGGGAATGCTCTGCCCGTGGACAATAGTGTTGAGCCGGCTGCTCAGCCGTGTGGCGAAATGTGGGTTCGTGACCCGAAATCCTGGCCTGAGTGGAAGACGGCTCATCCCCAGACGACCTTGGTCACGACGGTTGCCGACCAAGCAGAGGTGGCGTTTGGAGAGCATCCTCTATATAAGGGAGATGACTTTGGTGATGCGGATCACCACTGGACGGCGATCAGGGCCTGGATGAATGATAGGCCTAATGCACTGTTCACTCCTCCGGAGGTGGTTGTTGACGCCATGATGCTGACTGAGGGTAGGAACCGGGAAGAGATCGTTAGATGCTCTACCGGGCGGCGACTGTCTTCTGCGTGGTCAGTCAGGAAGTTTGCCACGGCCGATAGGCCAGGCATGCGGGGATACCTGCATGAAATGGGACTGATGTCAGGGCTGGTCACCTCTATGGGGGACGCGATCAACTGGGAGCGTTTTCAGGTATTGCGGATCAGGCCCAAGAACCCGGAGAGTGCCACTGATGTTGAGATTGGACCCGAAGATGGATGGGCCTTCTTCGACTTGGCACAGAACTACCGGGCACAGATGGACACCGAGAACATCCTCATCCACGGGACTTCGCAATCTTCATTGTGGAGCATTCTGGGTGGTATGCAGGTTACTGCATCCACCGCGAGCGAGGAATCTGTGGGTGTTTGGACCTCTTTGAAGGCTTCTGAGGCTCTGGGGTATTGCACATTGTCGCACTACGGCCAGAACACGTGGGCGAGGGTCGGGATTTGCATCAAGCAGCCCGATGAGACCGAGAACCTGTTCGGGGACCTGCCCGCGTTGAGGAGCGTCAAGAGAGGGGCACAGCGGGTGTTCCCGAACGCGAGATTGGGGATCTGTGGTATCTGCATCAAGCTCGAGCGACCTGCGGCGGATTCCCACCATGTGGAATTGTGTAACTCAGGTGGCGATAGCAACCTGCAGTATTTCAATCCATTCATCGAGTGGAACCCGCATGCTCCCTCGACCGTTTGGGCTATGCACAAGTTCTTCCCCGAGAACTACATGGGACCGATAGGTCTCTCAGTAGAGGAGGAGAACCTGCGTGCTGCGCCGGGGACTCCCCAGGCGGCTCAGGCGGAAGGCGGGATGCTCTACGCCAAGATCGTGCCTAAGTCAAATATGAAAGATGCGATCAAAGGCGAGACAATGGACATCACCATGACGAAGGGGTACTTCACCGAAGCCGAGCAGGAAGCGAAGATCATTGCTCGGGGAGCGATGGTTCCAAAAGAGCTGGAGTGCTTCTTGCAGGATAAAAAGGTTGCTGCGCCTGATTAGGAACAAGAAGGTTGTTCCTCGATCCATGGATCTGCCGAGGGGAGGATACTCCCGGACGGCTGTCGATCCGGTGCAGTTGGAAAGGCTTTGGGATGCTTGGGCGACCGCGATGTTGGCCGACATGATGCTTCCCATCTATCCTTCCATTGTGCTGAACGAAATGGGTCGTGGCTCTGACAAGATGGTAATCTTGCTCAAGTGCCTCGCGGCCAGTGGGACTGGCGCCGCGTTGAGGATTGCGGCGGCTAACTCTGCCGGGTACGGTCCTCCAGTATACAAGGAGGAGACCGCGAGTCCGGATGCGACGGTCTTCTACTTGCTGGATCAGACGTTCAACACCGTCTCCGGGAAGAGTAAGAAGGGATTGGACCCG